CTGAGCTGAAAACTTTAGAATGGTGGATATCGGGATTAAGGCTTAATCCACTCTTTTTCTTAATCTCGAGATTAAATATTGCTTGTTCTCCTCTCATTTTTAATCTCCAGATTAATTATCCGATCAGGATTAAGGATATCCCATTCAAAAGTTTTCAGCTCTGGGAACTTTTGAATGTTGGATATCGGGATTAATGCTTAATCCACTCATTTTCTTAATCTCCAGATTAAATATTGCTTGTTCTCCTCTCATTTTTAATCTCCAGATTAATTATCAGAACAAGATTAAGGATATCCCATTCTAAAGTTTTCAGCTCAGGTTGGATGAATGGAGAAGGGGGATGGGGAAAGGGTTAAGAATGGATTGAGCGGTTTGGATGGAGATTGGAGGGAGAGGGAGAATGTATTGGGCGGTTGGATGGATGAAGGGGAGAAGGAAAAATGGATTCGAGCTGGTTGGATGGATGGAGTAGGGGGATAGGAGAGGGGGGTGAGAATGGATTCGAGCTGGATGGATGGGGAAGTGGGTGAGATTGGATTGGCCGGTTTGGATGGAGATTGGAGGGGTAAGAATTGGGGGGGGGGGGGGCAGATGAATGGAGAATATGAGAGAGGGAGTAGTACGATATGTTCAATCTGACTGAACCTGGATTCTTGACGTCGCGTTGTATTGAAAACTATGTGTATAATCAATTGAATTCCAATCATTTCAAAAATTTACAAATTACAAAGCTACATTTCTGAGGATTTATTTCAAGCTAAATCTACATTCTTTTTATATTACAATTTGTAAATATTATACATAAACCTCTTTAGATATTTTGAACTGTTAAATATATGTTTTCCCTCTTATTGTGTATTCTATATTGAAAGTCGAAAAATTGAGAGCAATAACTTAAAAATTTTAAAAAATCATTGTTTTTGCTTTGAAATTATTATCTCCCTTACTAATATTCGTTCTTTTGAGGCATCAAATTATTTCTTTTTAATAATGAAAGTTAATCCGCGGAATTCGCAGTTTTGTTGCACGTTTCCATTTTTTTTCAGGTCAATCTGCCTTAGCCGCCTCCCTACACTTTATTTATTAGGCTCTAAATAAACATTTTAGCCTTACAATACATTAGGTTCGGAAGTTGTGAGTAATTGGGAGAAAGCTCCGAGACTGCCGGTTCCGGAGAAACATCCGTGCTCCAGTCTTACTTCTTCAGTTACACCAGGTTACAGCTCATGCTACACAATACTCCGTCAAATTGTTGGAATAAAAATGATAAACAATAATATTTTATTAGGTTTAAGTTAGACGAAATAATTTGTTTGCACACCTAGATTTAAAAAGTTATATAACGTGAATACTGAATGATAATAATATTTTAATCTTAATAAAAATGTATTACACCGAGCTTTTAGGGCGCTTCGCGCCCATCTTCTATTTCAATTGTAAACATTTTCTCTTTGTATGCATTGTAAAACAAAAACCAAAAACAAAATTCGCGGATTTTATTTAAAAGATTTCGTTAATTTTTAAAATTTTCAAAAATCGAATTTTGCTAGAGGCAAATTTTTTTAATTATATCATCCATAAACCTTCCCTATGCAGACATGTGAAGTCCCACACAAAATTTGGGCACGCCGTTTTGACGTTTATTGCACACAAACGGATAGACAAACAGACAAGCAAAGTATAAATATAGATTTGCATTTTTGTAAATTCAATTAATTTTGTTTCATAAAAATATTTACTTGTTGAAGGCTGAGGCTGTATTAGGTAAATGGGTAGTTTGCTAATTGAACCACTCCTTTAACAAACAACTAAAATTGGAAATGTTTTGACAAACAATGAAAAAAAACACACGGTTCTTTTCAAAATGCTTTTAAAGTGTCAATCAGTTTTAGGGGATTCCTTCGCTTAACACACTGAAAATATAAAAAATTAATAATTTGATGTTTCATCTTTATAATAAAACAAGACATTCGTATATATATATATGTTGCCTATAGCCGGCCAAACGGCTGGACCGATTATGATTAGATTATATTTCGCTCAACAGATCTGTAAAGTTGATATTATGCTAACTTTTTCATATCTTACCGATTTAACATAATTGATTGGTGAAGCTGATTTGAAAAGTTACGATAGATTTTGCACTGCATATATATGTTGCCTATAGCCGGCCAAACGGCTGGACCGATTGAGCTAATTTTTTTTGTGAACACTCATGGGTGGTCGGGGGGAGGGGGGGTGTCATAGGCTAAAAAATTTGATTTTAAAAAAAAAAATTTAATTTTTTCCACGGGCAACGCCGGGCCCTTTCAGTATTAAATAATTATTCAGTATCTGTTGTAATATGATAAACTAATCCTTTAATATCTGTATTGATCTTATCCTTTATATCTGTATTGAACAAATCCTTCAATACTGTATTGACCTAATCCTTATAATATCTGTACTAAACTATCCTTCAATACTGTATTGATTTAATCCTTCAATATCTGTATTGGACTAATCCTTCAATACTGTATTGATCTAATCCTTATATATCTGTATTCAACTAATCCTTCAATATCGTATTGATCTGATCCTTCAATATCATTATTGAAAAAAAACCTTCAATATCTGTATTGAACTACCTTCGAATACCTGGATAAACCTATCCTGGAATACCTGGATAAACCTATCCTGGAATACATGGACATAAACCAATCCTGGAATACATGGACATAAACCAATCCTGGAATACCTGGATATAAACCAAACCTGGAATACCCGGATATAAACCAAACTTGGAATACCCGGATATAAACCAAACCTGGAATACCGGATATAAACCAATCTTGGAGTACCTGGATATAAACCAATCTTGGAATACCTGGATATTAACCAATCTTCAAAATCCTGGATAAAAACCAATCCTGCAATAGCTAGATATAAACCAATCCTGGAATACCTGGATATAAACCAAACCTGGAATACCTGGATGCAAACCAATGCTTGAATACCTGGATATAAACCAAACCTGGAATACCCGGATATAAACCAAACTTGGAATACCTGGATATAAACCAATCCTGGAATACCTGGATATAAACCAAGCCTTGAATACCCGGATATAAACCAATCCTTGAATACCTGGATAGAAACCAAACCTGGAATACCCGGATTTAAACCAAACTTGGAATACCCGGATATAAACCAAACCTGGAATACCTGGATAAAATCCAATCTTGGAATACCTGGATATAGTCCAATCTTGGAATACCTGGATATAAACCAATCTTGGAATACCTAGATATAAACCAATCTTGGAATACCTGGATATAAACCAATCCTGGAATACCTGGATATAAACCAACCTTTATAAACTATTTATTATTCCTAATTTTTAAAACAATGAATGCATGAAATACACCCCTCTTGGGTGGGAGAATTTATTGTTATTTTATGCTTATTGATTTTTATATCGTGCAAAAGCTTTAAAGACAAATTAATATGAATAGGCTAATGTTGGAAATAGTCGGACACAATTTTAGTTTAAAACACATTACCGTTCCAGAATATTTTTTGTAATAATTATAGAATAATTTTAAATTTATCAGATATTTCTTGCGTTTTTGACAACTTAAAGGGAAAGTTCGTGAAAAAATGAAAGGGAGGCTGACGGTGAAAAATATTGATTTTGGTCGCTGCTAATCTTACTTTTATCCTGTCGCGTCTATAAGGAGAAAATTGTTAAAAAAAAAGCATCCATACAAATTCAGAAAGTTGCAATATACGACTCGGATAATAGAAAATTAATTTAATTTCAAATAAATCATTCAGATATTACAACCTTTTTCGACGCATTCATAAAGTCAATATTTCATAATATTTGTTATTTGGTTTTTTATACAATTGCACTTAAAACGAAGTTTTTTTTCGCTAGGTGTCTCTGCCACGTGTAATCATTCAAAGCATTGTTTACAAAACAAATAACAAATATTATGAAATATTTACTGTAAATGAATGCGTCGAAAAATAATAGATTACTATAGGTCGTAATATCTGAAAAATTTGTTTGAAATTAATTTGATTTTTATTTACGATCCTAGTCATATATTGCAATTTTCTGAATTTGTATGGACGCTACGTTCTTCAGTATAAATCGTTCACAATTTTCTTTTCATGGACGCAACAGATAGAAGTAAGATTAGCAGAGATCAAAAGCGATTATTTTTCGCCGTAAGCCTATACCCCCTTTCATTTTTCGCGAACACTCCCTTTCAGTTGTCAAAAACCCAAGAAATATCTGATAAATATAAATTATTCTTTAATTATTACAAAGAATATTCTGGAACAATGAAAGGTAAAATGTATTAAAATTACAATATTTAATTTAACCTTAATCCTCTTAAAAAATTTGCTTTTAAACTTTTATTTTTGAATTGCAAGATTTGCCCTGATTTACTCCTACTTTATTTAACTAAACTAAAAAAAGTCCTTGAAAGCAACTGTGCATGAAAAAGTAAAAACTATTTAGAAGTTTTGTTGAATATGAGCGTACGTGTATTGTCTGCGTGCATTAATAATTAATTTAATTTGTGTAGGGTTATAAATCTTAAGAAAAAACTCCTTGCATATCCTGATATACTCGGATATATAATGATCGTGGATATAAACCATTCCTTGCATATCCGAATTTATAATAATCATGGATATTAACCAACCTTTGACTACATGGATATAAACCTTTTCTGTAATACCTGGATATAAGCCAATCCTAGAATACCTGGATATAAACCAATCCTGGAATACCTGGATATAAACCTATCCTGGTATACCTGGATACCTGGAATACCTAGATATAGTCAAATCCTGGAATACTTGGATATAAACTTATCCTGGAATACCTGGATATAGTCAAATCCTGGAATACCTGGATATAGTCCAATCCTGGAATACCTGGATATAAACCTATCCTGGAAGACCTGGAAAAGTTCGACCCTTGAATACCTGGATATAAACCTATCCTGGAATACCTGGATATAGTCCAATCCTGGAATACCTGGATATAAACCAATCCTCGAATACCTGGATATAGACCAATCCTCGAATACCTGGATATAAAACAATCCTCGAATACCTGGATAGAAACCAATCCTTGAATACCTGGATATAAACCAATCCTTCAATACCTGAATAGAAACGAATCTTGAAATACCCATTAGATAAACATGTTTAACTACTTATATTTCAATATAGCTTCAGGATAATATTTTACAAGTTCAGTTTAATATTCATTAAATGTTTGCGTTCCGTATATTTTTATCAAGATAATTTGATCAAAATTGAAATTCCTTAATCATATTTCTATCAAACAAATCCAAATTTTGAAAGCTTACAGATTATAAATTCGTTACATCAATGATTTGAGTCAACTTTATTTTCAACTGTTTAAAGTCGTCATAAACGTGCTGATTATTATTATTCTCTTCATTTTTATATTTATCTTTTTTTTCAGATTAAGTATTTAAGTTCAGCATTTAATGTGCCTTTGCAAGAACTGGAGAAATGTAACTGAAAATCTAAAATTTTATGAAAATTTTAAGATTTCCTTGATTTATCAATTGAAAGAAATTCCTTGTGATGTAATATTGCTTGACTGGACAGTTCTCATATATACAAATATATAAAATATATATATTTACGGACGGAGAAAAGGTAAAGATTGAAAACTCAAAAGCTTAAAAACCAGGGCTTTGAATTTAATAGTGGGTTGTTGTTGTGCCCCCCNTTAAAACGGAATTAACAATAGATAAATAGATGTGTAAAAATATATTTTTTAAATTCCCTTATTTTATCCTGTGATTAGATTTAGAATATATGTGTGTAATCTGCCAGACGTTGAATCGTTCAATTTAAGATTTTAGGTCAGATATCTAGAAAACTAATGAAAATATAAATATCCATTCGTACCGAGTTAGGTTAAAACTTAGAACGCTGAATTTAAAATAAACGGGTATATTGTGGAAAGGTAAAAATGTGTAGAACACCCTTACATCGATCTGGGAGTATATTAAATAAAAATATTTTTGCACATTTTAAGCAAAATTTTCCAGAATTTTTTCGATGATCTATAGTAAACTTGATATAGATCTGAAGAAGGTTTATATGTAGATAAATCTTCTCACCTGCTGGGATACAATAAGGTCATGGTTGGGTATAGATGAGTAAGATCTCCTACTGTGTTTATTACCGGCTCCAGAGAATACTTTCATACCTAACCTACAGAACATTAAGAATATCTGGCAGATTTAGCAGATCTCATAGATTTGGCAGATATTTGAGATTTCGTAGATGAGATAGATTATTTATAATATGTATTTATATGATTAGATTATATTTCGCTCAACAGATCTGTAAAGTTGATATTATGCTAACTTTTTCATATCTTACCGATTTAACATAATTGATTGGTGAAGCAGATTTGAAAAGTTACGATAGATTTTGCACTGCTCGTAGATTTAACAGTCTGATTTGATCTAACAGCTAGATATGATCAAATTTTCAAATTTTTTATGAATGGGCTTGCAGATCTGGTAAAGGAATTGAGTCTTTGCCACAAACTTTGATTTTCTTATCCCTATATCTATGTAACCCAATGTCGTAGACCTTATATATTTTAATTTATTAATTCTGTTGGATCAAATAATTAAAAGTTCACACCATCAGGTTGAAAAGATATAGGGATTAGAAAATTTTAGTTTATGGCAAAGACTTAATTTCTGTAGCAGACCTTGCACGACAAATATTAGCAGATATATACGTAGAAGTTTAGGCAAACCTTGCATTATTTACTTTTACAGATCAGACAGATTTAAAGGACATGCATAGACATAAGTCGATTTGTTTTTTTTTGAGTATTGTAAACACACTTATCGACATTAGTGTTTTGACCGAATGGACAGAAGTGCCCTAGGCTTTATTGATGCCTATAAAACAGTAAAACAACTAAACTAGGCTTTTTATGAAAAGAATATGTAAAAGGTTAAAAAGGGAGATTTCTTGAAGTATGTTTGAAACGTTTCCCAAATGTAAATGTTTCCCAAATGTAAATGTTTCCTAAATGTAAATGTTTCCAAAATGTAAATGTTTCCCAAATGTAAATATTTCCTAAATGTAAATGTTTCCCAAATGAGCTTTTACAGTTTTTAATACACAAAATTATCTCCTAGCGGGTCACTTGATTATCCTTTGTTAAATAGCAATCCTCCTTGTACGGGAAAGTAAAAATGTGCGGTTCACAGCAAGGAAGCTTTTGCTCCCTCGCTGGAAATAGAAACTAACTTGAAGTGCAATAAGTGATAACCTATCCAATGCAAGTAGACAGCATGTTCAGCGCTGAGGATGTAATTACAATTAAACAAACCAAAAAACGAAGAGGGGTACATTTATACAATGAAAGGGTGATCCAGCACTGTCTTATAATGGCGCAAAGACAGCGACTTGAAACCTTCTTTCAAAAGCAGCGCCATAAATGGACGGGGAAAGGGAAGCAAGATAGAGAAAGGAGAAAGAATATGATTAATGAACATTCGAAATTATTAACTATGCCTCGTACCATTTTCATTTACAAAAATTATAAAAATAAACTATAAAAACATTGTAATAAAACAGTTTTTAATCTTTCCCAATGTTAAGACAGGCAGATTAAAACGCTTAGAATATTTTGGAAATCTTGGTAACAAATCAAGGTCTCCAAAGGCTGGAAATGGAGTTTTTAACATTACAGTCATAAAAGAGCCATCCTTTCATTGTGCGATAGTAACACAGCTAAACCATGGACTAATTGAAGTCGAGACGGATCCAAATTATCAGACGTGTACAGTACGGTTTAAGTTGGAACGGTCCTGGTGTATTTGAATTGATGTGTCCTAGGGCACCAAGTTGACGGGCCAGGACTGTTTGCTCATCTGATTACATTCCTCTCCGTCCTTCTCATCCTTGCAACCCTTCCTCTCTCTCTTCTCTTTGCTGTGAAAGTTGTTCAGGTAAACCACTTCGGAAATATTAATCATGGCAAAATAAAGTAAATTGCATGTTCGATTGAAATCTTCAATGTTTTTAAAGGGAGTGACCGGCTATGTAAGGTAGTTGAACTGAGTATGCAGTGTTGTGGAAAACTGCTTTCGGATTCATTTGAGACATATAAAACTTTTTAAAGATCTGTAAATCCTGAGTTTGAGCGCAAATTCGACGTTCAGATCTTTAAAAAGTGTAATATTTCTCAAATGAATCCGAAAGATTTCCACAACACGGCATACTCAGTTCAACTACCTTACATAGCCAGTCACTCCCTTTAATAATAACTCGACTCTTATTGAAGAGCTATAAAGAACAACTGTTTTGAATTTTTAATTTGTAAACGTAAAAATGTCATTTTCTCATACATATGCATAAAATTATAGGAACTACGAGGTCACAATTTCTTTGATCTAAAGATTTTGCTACATTCAGAAGTAGAAAGCGCTTAATGCACGAAATAAAAATCCTCCAATTAAAAAAAATGATTGAACATTTCCTCTAGGAGTATGAACGAGCAGTAATATTCCGCCTGGGAAGGTTATTGAAGGGTGGAGCCCGAGGTCCGGGTATTTTCTTCATCATCCCCTGTGTAGACAGTTATACCAAGGTTAGAATTTAAACTCACAATTATAAGTTAATGAAGAATTTAAAGATTTATTATAAGGATTTATTCTCAACAAAGATACATAAACAAATATAGTTAAATTTGCCTCCTCTTCTAGATTGAATATTCTAAATTCTTGAAATTTAAGAATTTAAGAACGCTCAACAAATCTGTACAAATCAATCCAAAATGAATGTTGATTATCTGTTATTATGCTAATTAAGAAATACTTTTCAATGTTTTAATTACATTTTTTTTACGGAAATTCAAAGAAAATTTAAATTTAGGATATAGTCAAGGAGTATGGAATAGAAGGGAGATCCAAATACCATATGATTATACATGCTTTACAGACGGTACAGAGCCCGAAATTTAAAAGAGTATCGTTGAACGAAACTTCCGAGTTTCCTTTTTGGGGACTTAACATTTGTATAGATTTTGATTTAAGAGATTCGAAAAAAATGCTAAAATATAAAGGAACTAAATAACATAATATTTCAAAGCAAAAATATCGATATCTACAAAACTGGGTAAACCCATTTGTGAAACCCGGGTTCAAAAACTGGTTTTCATAACGTTACCCTGTCTTAAGTTTTGGGCTCTGCATTTGAAAAAGTAATATTTGTCTGTTACCGCGAATACAATAACCTATTCTGAAATCTGAATATTTCTAAATCAAATGCAGTACCGTCTGCAAAGCATGTATAATCATATGGTAGGGCGGGTCGTGTCATTTATATCTCCCTTCTATTCCATACTCCTTGGATAGACAACTAATTTTTGAATTATTGGTAAACAGTTTTTAGACCCGCTAAATTTGGATGCGGATCAAAAACTTGTAGAGAACATTTACATAATGTGCACCTAATGCTCCTTCAGTCAAGACTCTATATTAGCTCCTTTGTTGTAATTTTACCCTTTAATATATATTTAAAAACTAAGACCCAAAGCACTTAAATAACACTTTTACATGTTTTCTTTTCTTACTTTTGTATTTTCTCTGTAATTATATGCGAAGTGTGTTAACGAGTGTTCACACTACATAACTATGGAACAGAAACTCTCTACTCTGCACGCAATAATATAGGTTATTGGTAAACATAGACACTGTGCATTGTACAATATGATATATACACTGTACACTGTAGTAGTACCTGAATATACAGTAGAGTCTCTACATTGTAGTTTAATATACAATATACCAAAGACTCTATATCAAAATACTGCATCATAATTTCGACGAAAGTTCTACGTCCTTTGTTTGGTTCAATAAAGATTTAAGATTCTGGACTTTTGATGTTCGACATCGACATGTCTAAATGTTTGCAGGTAGCACTAAATTTTGAGGCAAATTGGTCTAGGGGTTAATGAATTATGATCGGACATACAAACACACAGACAGACAGACAAACAGAGATTAAACTTTATAGAAGATAAACTACACACTCTATCTACTATCTACAGTTATACACTGTATATTATTATACAAGATACACTGTACTGCACTTTGAGTCCCGAATTTAGAGAAACCGTGATATGTTATACAGAACGTAAATATATTGTTTATGCTAATAAATAATTTGTTAGAATATTTCTGACCAAAACTTAAGAGAATTTTGTATTTAATATTGTTCAGGTTGATATGAGAGTTCTTACATTTGATGTTCCACCCCAAGAGGTAATTAACTAAAAATAATGAATGAATGATAAGAATGAAAAAATAAACAAATAAAATATATATTAATTTTCATTTAGTGAGAAAACCCGAGATTTCGTTTTTTGGGTTCCATCAATTGTGAACATTGAGATTTCCACTTTAAAGGAAATGTAGACGTAATTTAAAGTAACTCTCCATTTTAAGAGTGGCATTTCAAATTCACAACTGCAACCTTTAAATCTATCTATTTGAGTAACAATAAGAAAGATATTGTCGTTTTCTAAGTATCTTGTGAATAAATCCGAAAGTTAGTTTTGAAGAGAAACCACGATTGAAAAAAATCTATTTTCAGCTTGTAGATCAGGATAGTTCATTCATACTTGATTTTGATGAGAGAAAAGTTGCCAGGGAACCGATGTGAATCGGTTATGCCTCTTTATAAATGGACGAGTCACATGAAATTACGTTTACTCATACTAATATTCAATTTGATATTACAATATCATTGAGACTAGGTTTCCAAAATTGTATTTTAAGTTTTAGGCGCGCTTTCAAACTAGTAATATGGTAAAAGATGATTTACTAAGAAGTGTACACGTACACTATTATCTGATTCTCTTAGATGCTTTAATTTGGACTTTGGAACAACATAAAAAAAACTTCACTATTCTGTAAAATATGATTCGTTTTGCAATCTTATTTCACTTGGAAGTTTAAAGACATCACGAAATTTTAATTTAGTATTTTATACACCTGTTTTTATACGACGAAATATAATTAATGTAATAGATCAATATATATGAGCAAAATAGTTCACACAACTATATTGTATATTGTAAATTTATATATATATATATATAACCTCGCTCTACAGAATAAATCATTGTATAATAAACCAAGGGGAAAGTTACTTTGTGCTATTACTGTTTCAGAATTAGAGGGTTTATATCATTCATCATTCAGTTTCCTTTTACATCCATTTATGCATTTAACTGTTCCCTTTCCCATAAACTTATGCCTTAAAGAGACTGGTCGCGTAGTTTCAAATAAACCTTCATTTAGTTCACTTTCTCTACATTTCATAGTTACACTAGCTATAATTACATTTGATAAAATTACACTTACAATAATTACACTTGGTAAAGTTACATTTTCCATAAAGTTACATTTCCTATATGGTAACATTTAATATAAAGTTACACTTCCTATAATAACACATTATGTTGGGGTAGGTTAGGTTTAGACAATTTCTGGGCTGAGAACTGTGGTTACGTAAATGTGAAATTGATATAAATTTTAGCAAATACATGTATAGGAAGTGTAACTATAGAAAGTGTAATTATAAAAAGTATAGCTTTATGTGAAATGTAACTTATACGAAATGTAAAATTATATAAATGTAAGTATAGCAAGTGTAATTATATGAAATGTAACTGAGCATTATTATTTACGCACTAAACTTTCCATTTATTTATTCATCACATTTCTAGATTCTAACTAAAGATTCTGTAACTGTACACGTGGATGCAATTATGTACTACAAGGTAAGATATTATCATTGATATTATTTTTGAGCTTTTGGAGGAGATGATTAAATTGATCATTTACTAAATAAATACATCAGAGAAGTATTGCGCATTTGTTTTCATCGATATTGAGGTTTTAAGTTTAAATTAAATGATTTTAAAACGGAATTAACAATTTTTTCATGAATCCCAAAATACTTTATTTGTCCCAACTGCAGCACTAAAAAAGCTGGAAAATAATATTTCTCAAAAAATTCAATGTTTTCCTACAGAGGAAATAATCATTGTTCTAATACATTGTGAATTTTAAAATAAACTTTTTCAAACAAATTATTTAAAAGTTTACAATTACAATTGGAACTGATCCACTTACCACAAACTCTTATTTTCTATATCTTTGCAACCTGATGTTGCAGACCTTTGATATTGTAAATTCAGAATTTGATCTGTCAGAATTCATAGGTCTACAACATCAAGTTTAAAAAATATAGGAATTAGAAAACTATAAAAAGTTATGGCGACTGGCCAGTGTTCATATAATATTTGTAGGTGGTGATATTTATTTAATACGTTTATTTGCTTGATTCTAAATATTTATTTTTGCTTAAAGGGACCGTTCACTTTTTTGGGTAATTTTAGGGTAAAAGTGAACGGTCCCTTTAATATTGGGTTTTGTAATCCATTATTGACAGAATTCCATGTGAATATGTCTGATTAATAAAAAATTATAAAAAGTATTGGTTCGTGTAACTGGTCAATAGTGAACTTTATTAAAAAAATATTTAAATTGAAAAGTTTTAAATTAAATATAAATTCTCAATAAAACATTTAAACTCTAATCCTCGTAAACATCTGTTTATCACTGTAAAGAGAATTCTTTAACAAAAAGGCCAAAACAAGATTAAGCCCAGAAATTTATATCGCTGAGAAGTAGGTTTTAAAAAATAATTTTTTACTGGTATCTGAAAAATCGTTGGTTTTTCGCTCCTCGAAACAATGTTTTTAATAGATGGGTTATCTGGCAATCTTAGAAAGATAATAGTTTGATTTTGTTTACCAACCCTTAAATTAAATTACTTTTCTGCTTCTTAAAATGGTAAATATGATTTCTAGGTGAACAACGCAACATCCTGTATAGCTAATGTAGATGATTACGGACAATCTACCAGACTACTTGCTGCTACTACACTCCGGTTTATTACTTGCGCCATTTAATGAATTACAATATGACTTTGGCACCTTGCAATTCCTCTGGTTCATTTGGAAACAAGCTAAGCTTAAGAAACAAGCTGACAAAATTTGAACTAAAATAAGTTAACTTGAGTTTTGTGTGGAAAATAATTTTTTTTTCATGTATTAAAAATTAGTGAATTGTGAATTATGGCACAGCAATCGACTATATTCAGCTTATTTATATTTGAACTTTTTAGAAATTTAAAAAAAGAGAAGCTCCCAATGTATATGTAGTGTACACTGTATAGTGCACATTTCCAAATTTCTAACCATTATTGTTAGTGCGGATTGCTGAATTCTAAGAGGAATATGGGAAGTTTATGTTAGGAAGTGAATATTGTTAGTTTGTGTGTTTATTACGGTAGAACAAACATACGACTCATCTTCTTAATGCAAAGTTTTTCTGCTCTAGATATACGTTTAGACTCTGTGTAATGTGTTAATGTGTTATTATTTATTTTGTGGGCTATAGATTTTAGCTAACAGTAATATAGTGACAGGCTAGTTATTCAAATATCGAAAAATTCGAAAGAATTGAGTTTTTGTTATAAACTCTAATTCCTATATCTTATCAACCTGATGTCGTATACAAACCTTTGTTATTTCAAAATATAAAATATGTTATACAAAATAGTCTAAGTTTTAAATATCAAAGGTGTACACAATCATATTACAAGGATATATGCGATAAGAAAATTTGAGTTTAGGTCAATTTTTTAATCAAAAGATATAAAAAGAAACCGTAATATAAAAATATTAAAAAAACGTATAACAGCAAAAAAAAAATAGATATCATTGTATAAAAGAAATCATGTATTTTCTTCGAATACTGTACACAACTATATATGTATAGACAAGTAAGCAGTTTTATAAAACTACATCAATAACTGCCTGTTCTAACATAAATGGTAATTTCCCAATTCTTAACTTTTAGTTATTTAGTCAGTTCAGACCAAATTTTTCTATAAAATGTCATAGCTTGCTTCCCAGCTTGTTATGACTCCATGAACCTCAAATTAAAACAAATTCTTGCTATTTTTTAGAGAAACTAATTCAAGAACTAATCTAATGATTTAATTTACTGAAAATATACCGAAATGAGGATAAAAATGATGAATAAATGTTTAACTGATATTCAGTGGAAGAAGAGCAGCCTTATCAAATTATTCGTGGTTTTAATCAGAACTGAAGTGTCCAATGTGCATAAATTATATATCTTTAGAGGATTCGTTAAGAGGACTGCAAGCGTAATTGCACAGCTGGCAATGCCCGGTTTGTCATTGGTACTCTCGAAACCTTTCGAACCCGTCGTTCTTCTGACTCGAGAAGTGTTTATTTCTTTGAGTTTCTCCGTTGCTTCTCGCAAACAAGGATTGCGCTAGTCACTTTTGCAGAGAAACTGCAAAAGAACATGAAACAGTTTAAAGAAACAAAAACCTTGACGTCTAATTATTCCTTTAAAAAAAACTTTCAAGGGTCACTTGAAATTACGCTTACAGTCCCTTTAAGTCCTGTAAAATGCCCAAATATTGAAAAAAATAAATGAATGAATAAATTGCCTATCCAGATGTTCAGTATCCAATATTTTAGGAATGTTCTGGGAACTAAGAGTTTGGGAGATATTCTATCTGAACGAGAATCTATCGCCCAGGATATGCAGATCTCTCTTGACGAGGCAACCGATCCCTGGGGAGTCAAGGTGGAGAGAGTCGAAGTGTAAGTTTTTTTCGCATTAATGTTTTAATGAAATCACTAAAATATCGAATTTGACAATTATAACTTTAATTGAATTATCTACGGTCTTAGTAAAATAAATCAACTCCGTGGATTTGTATGGGTCTTCGGTATGAGTCGTTTTAAACCATTTTCTCCTTATGGACGCAACCGATAGAAATAAAATTCTAGTATTAGAGAGTAGGGTTGGGATTTGTTTAAACACGATCTAAAGGAAAATTAGTGGCGATCAATATCGAATTTAATTCGGGATCAGTCTAATAATGCCCCCGTTTATTTTTCGCGATCACTCCCAACAAAATACTTAAATTTTAATAAGCCAAGTATAATAAAAAAATTCCATACTTATCAATCGTTGCTTCAATTCTAAACATATTTTAGATATATCTAAAGCTATACCTCAAATATTAATAGTATTTCGTTTTTTATCATATTATCGCGAGTTTTTTACACTCCTCGGGGCCTTTTGGTATATACAATACGTAAATAAAAATAAAGACAATTGTTAAAATAAAAAAATATATGAATAGATGATGGTGTAAACCTTTGACAGTAAAAACTTATTTTTTATGTAATAATAATATCAAAAATAGCAAAGATATAAGGATTTAAAATTTGGCACAAATCATTTCCTTTACTAAATAATTTGTTGTGATGCAGAAAGGATGTGAGGCTACCCCAACAACTACAACGAGCTATGGCAGCAGAAGCAGAAGCAGCTCGTGAGGCTAGAGCTAAGGTATTTAATCCAATTAACAATTTGGATTTTGAAAACCTTTTAAAATTAACCTGAATGTTTTTCTAAAATTCAAATTAAACAAAGACCAGAAAGAAAATGGCCTTATTTATACTGCAGATAGATAAACTTCATACTCGTCACCATTTTCACCCAGATAAATGTTAAATATGTAATTAATTTTCACCCAGATAAATGTTAAATATATAGTTAATTTTCACCCAGATAAATGTTAAATATGTAGTTAATTTTCACCCAGATAAATGTTAAATATATAGTTAATTTTCACCCAGATAAATGTTAAATATGTAGTTAATTTTCACCCAGATAAATGTTAAATATGTTGTTAATTTTCACCCAGATAAGTTAATTTTCACCCAGATAAATGTTAAATATGTAGTTAATTTTCACCCAGATAAATGTTAAATATGTAGTAAATGTTAAGATCGTTTTTATCATTCTTTTTTAAAGTTTCATCTAAAGTTAAGTAGACAATACATTAAAATTGTTTATCAAATGTCATGTTTTGTCTAGAAACCTTGTCTTAAAATAGTATGAAAATAAACTGTAATTTGAATTTAAAGATATAAACAGTAAATATTTGTGTGATATGCATATGTTGAAATGCATTCCTGGATTAATTACTTCAGGTTATAGCAGCTGAGGGTGAACACAAGGCAAGCCGGGCACTAAGACACGCAGCTGAAGTTATATGTGAATCCCCAGCTGCACTTCAGGTACAGACATTTTTCATTATTCCTTGAACAGACTAAAAAGAAAATTATGGAAGTTGGAATGTGTAATTAAATGTGAACCATGAGTCAAAGATACAGAAAAAATGAATTAAATTTTGATTACATATTATTAATTACACACGTGCACGAAGCAGATTTTTGCGGTATGATAAGAAATTGTTGTATTTTATTCATTTGTTATTTTCAGCTTCGGTATCTGCAAACTCTAAACAATATTTCTGCTGAGAAGAACAGTACAATTGTATTCCCAGTGCCTGTAGACATATTGTCCTCATTAGTCAGCTCTTTCAGGAAATCATGATTTTTGTAAACAATAACCTTTATATTTTAAAAAATTCATTTTTTATTCATTGAAACCTCACTCATATAATTTCTATTTAAAATTCATCTAAACTTCTTTTGTTTGTATGTATTCTATAAAGAATAAAAAACAGTGTATAAAAATCAATTATCTATTTTATCAGTTTAAAACTAATATAATGTGTAAATGGCGCACTTCACAGTATTTTTTAATTCTTAGTTTGCACACAAGAATAATTGTATTGTAGAGTATTTTACATATTGTTTCCATAATGCAAATATTTGTTATAAAAATAAAATCTTAGTTCCACGCTCATTTTTTAAAACTTATTTGAACTTCCTGCTCACGATTTTGGTTTTCAAAACAAGTCCTGAACATTTGTAAATATTTCGCTTGGATAGTTTATTCCTCGTTGACTCTTACAAAAAACCGTTTCCATTCAAAGTTTTGCGATTTTTAAGATTGCTGTTTACAGCTTTTAAAAGCGTTTTTTCGATTCATGGTCGATAAGGGGGGCACACCATCAACGGTTCAAATTCTGTTCTGGTTTGCTGACAGTTTTTGGATTACATATTTAAATAATCGTTTACCTCGAAGGAGAACATGACTTGACTTTGTCGAAACTCCCATAAAAATTAAAAATTTTTACGCAAAACTTTATCTTTAAATCTTGTTGAGCCCTGAACAGAAAACAAACAAAGATCTTTTAGAATTTGTTGGCACATGGTTTAGAATTTCAGTTTGGGATTCGAATAATTCTAGAGATTTGAAATTGATTTGATGTACTGTAATCAGGTGTAAATCTGCCTCCTTCCTAAGTATAATATAATTAGTCTAATGGAGGATCTGTTATATCTAATTATTGTATTCAACTTGTTAAGAGAATTCCCCGGCTTCAGCTAATATGACAACAGACGTTACACAAGGTTGTCAACAAATTTTAAGTAAAAACATAGTTCAATATCGTGCTAAATAGTTAAAAACGTAAATGTTTGGAATCCTTTCTTTGGGTCATAGAAAAATCTCAAAAATCTAAATTCATAGACTAAACTCGTAAACCTACAGCCAAAGGTCCCTAAAAGTCTGATTGATTGATTGAATCCTTTATAAATCTGGGCCATCTTTCGCGGCGTTAAACTCAAAAAGCCATATAATAATTAACCTAATGGTTTTTATTGCCCTCACAAACCTTTAAAATAGCAACAAAATGGGACAACTTCCGAAAATTGTTTATCATCTTGACTAAATTTTAATCAAGTAATGTATTCTGAATCTATTTATCATTATTTTATATTATTATGGAAGATATATCAAATTTTCTCTCCACTACGTGCATATTTAAAAGGTGTATTGAGAATTATAAGAATTTAGTTCAAAGTTTTGAATATTCAATTTAATATAAAACTCCGTCTAGAATAAAAACTATGTGCTGTAACGGCACATTTTTGAGTTTTATACTTGATAATAGTTTCCTTTTACATCCATTTATGCATTTAACTGTTCCCTTTCCCATAACCTTATGCCTTAAAGAGACTGGTCGCGTAATTTTAAATAAACCTCCATTTAGTTCACTTTCTCTACATTAATGCATGGTATAGTTAACCTTCCAATACACTAATGCATTAAACAGTTTACTTTCCCAAATATTTATGCATCCCATATATTTGTTATTCATTAAACAGATTACTTTCACTTGCATATATGCATTTAACGGTTTACTTTCCCAAACAGATATGCATTACACAATCTACTTTGGCTCAGTTACATTTCATATAGTTACACTAGCTATAATGACTTTTGATATAATTACACTTACAATAATTACACTTGCTAAAGTTACATTTCCTATATGGTTACATTTCCTATATGGTAACATTTAATATAAAGTTACACTTCCTATAATTTCCATTCCTATAATAACACATTATGTTGGGGTAGGTTAGGTTTAGCTACAATTTCTGGGCTGAGCGCGGTGGTTACATAAATGTGAAATTTATATAAATTTTAGCAAATATAAGTATAGGAAATGTAACTATAGAAAGTGTAATTATAAAAAGTGTAACTTTACAGGAAATGTAACTTATACGAAATGTACAATTATATAAATGTAATTATAGCAAGTGTAATTATATGAAATGTAACTGAGCATTATTATTTACGCACTAAACTTTCCATTTATTTATTCGGCGCTACGACATCTGCTCTATTTCCATTTGCTCTATGGTCATTTGCTCTAGTTCCATTTGCTCTATCAAGTCATTTGCTCTATACGTCATTTGTTCTATACGTCATTTGCTCTATATTCAATCTGCTCTATGACTAAACACGTCATTTGCTCTATAACCTAAAAATACACTTTGAAATAGCTTTGATTGGAATTCCTGAGCGTAACTTGACTATGAAATGCGGGAATTTTTTTTGGAAAATTCGCAAATTGCAGTTTTCATCAGTTCTTCAAAGTCCATCATGACAGCGAGACTGCTCAATAATAAGAGGGGTAAAAAAACCTAATATGAAAACTATATTTATTCTACTCTAAACAACAAACTAACTCCGGGAAGTTGGCGGAATAATGAAACTGTAAGAAGAATTGTAAAATGTAAAATTGTAAAAATATAGTTTTAATATGATTAGATATTTGTAAAATATGTTAATAGAGCAAATGACGTGTTTACTCATAGAGCAGATGTTGAGTAGAGCAATTGGACCATCACAGTCATAAAAATGTTTATAGAGCAAATGACGTGTTATGTCATAGATCAATGAACGCATAGAGCAGATGACATATAGAGCAAACGTCGTGATCTATGAGCTATAGAGCAAATGGTTAATAGAGCAAATGGAACTAGAGCAAATGAACATAGAGCAAATGGAAATAGAGCAGATGTCGTAGCGCCTATTTATTCATCACATTTCTAGATTCTAACTAAAGATTCTGTAACTGTACACGTGGATGCAATTATGTACTACAAGGTAAGATATTATCATTGATTTCATTTTCTGATTTATCTTATTTTCCTCTTCTCATTCTACGTTTTATTGTATTTTACTTTTTCGTTGTTTTTCTTGATGCTTTATTCATAGAATTGGAATAATATTTGTTTAGTTCATGTTCTATTAAAAAATACCTGCATCTGTTTTTATAAGCCAGTTTAATCGATTTTTCTTCATGGTTTAATCCCTTTTCTGTTTTTGTTCCGGTTTACTCAATTTAAAATTTTGTTATCTTCATTTTTTATTTTTTTAAATAATGTTTTACTAATTCTTTGTTTGCTTTTATTCTTTCATGAAATTTCAGCTTTTACTTTATTTTTGTAATTTATGATCATTCTACTAATTATATCTTTTGTTAACTTGATCTCTGTTTTATTTGATTTAATTATTCCCTCTTGTTTTCTAAACTTAAACTTGATCTTACAGTCTTATTTTATATTTGATCTTGTTTTCTTTTTTATTCTTTTAAAGGTCCATCTTTTCCTTCTATCTGCCAATTACCTAGTTATGATAATATTATTTGTCCATCCAAGTAATTTTTATCTTCCCTTGGCACTACATAGTACACAGTATCCATTCTTGTTCCAGAGTTTACTCTTACTAACCAATTCTTAACCTCAACTGTACTTACATTAATAATCTAGTCTACATGCTAATTAATGTGTTTGAAATGTGAAAATCCATATATTAAAAAACGATGTACAAGATTTTGTACATTTTTTTTATTGATAGAAACTGATCTGAAGAAAACCGACCTAAGGGGTAATTGAACTAATTTTAGTGTAATTTTCATTAAGAATATCGAATGTGTCTAATTAAAACTACGTCTACGTCTAGCCCAGATCCAGCGCCCCGCCACCTAACCTTACCTTTTTTTAAAAAAATCGGAAAACCTTTAGTTCCGTTCCTTCTAGGTCGGATCGGAGTGTACTCGACTACTAAGGTACCAACAAGCTTAGGCTTTTATATAGTTAGATGCACGTGCTCACAAAACAACGACTATTTTTCTTGTCCTGTCTGGGTGGCCTTTTAAAATTTTGATTTGAATTCAATATATGAATATTATAAAATCATATCTGAAAGTGTTTGGCTTAGGCTGTTTTTTTTTAAAGAATAGGGAAGTTGGCTGAGCGCTACAAGAATAGCATTTTTACTATGCAATAAGGAAAATTTGTACCATATTTCTTATAACAACAATCATAAAACTCCTATCTCCCATTTAAATAAATATAACTATATTTATGGGATTACTACACCCCCCACCATAAGTCAGCTTTTAGGTCTTACGTGTCTCGAGAACCTTTTCCAAATATTAAACTTCTTCTCTCGCAAAAATAGTTGACTTAACAAGTTTTGTTCAAAAACAGTTAAAAACTTATTTTTAGTTCAAGATATATTTGCGTGTGATTGCAAAGAAATCAGTAACAGGCTAGGTACAGATTACAGTTTACATATTACAGACGTATTACAGATTACTGGATTGTCAGGGCGCGATACAGGAAACAAATCATCCCGTAGCGAGGAATAAAAGTGTAAACCTTAAATTGGTCAAATAAATAGGTAAAAATTGTAACAAATTATCAGATATTATCGTCGCAATATAAATACATTCGATTACCAAAAAAATCAGGTTTGATCGTTTTTCTTAATTTTACAAACAAATACGTTACTCGGAGTAGAAAATATTATAAAAAATTTTCTTTCATGGAAAGATCACAATACGTCAAGGTGGAGAACTAGCATTTATAAAAATATAGCTAAGGCACCTCGCTGTGTATAAAATGCATGGATTGCTAATAAAAGGCAATATTAGATTTAAATATTTTAATTTTCCATTTGATCAGAATCAAGGATTTACTTAATATCAATATTACAATAGGATGAATAAATGTATGGATGAATGAATCTATGAGTTGATGAATAAATGAAAGGATGGTTTAGATCCATGTACAGCGAGGATGAAGAACGGAATGTAGTTTCGTCTGAAGGCCACTTAGTTTCAAACCTTGGATCCAGGAGGAAGGGACGGGACATAGCCATTCAGCTTTGGCACTAAAATAAAATAAATAATTGATTAGACATTTAAAAAGTTAATTTTTTAGATTTTACACAATAGCATGAGTCAAAACTGGTCTACAGACTTATTTAAAATCTGGATTTTACAATATATCAAGTTTTATAGTCCAAAAAAAGTTTGTTGTTTGTATCATAAAAACATTACAATACTGTTTTATTTAAAGATTTTTTTTAAATCACAAAATAAATCTTTAACAAGAGATTATTATTGCAGAAAACAAAAAATTCCAATATTTTTTCCCCGATGAAAACCCTCTGTCTTTGATTTGAATTTTGTTTGAAAGCTTACCTTGGTGTGACTGTAGTCTAGAGGTTGACTGAGAAGTTGGAAACCTTTGGTTTCTCACTCTCTCAGCTCCATATAGAACCCTGGCATAGGGATCTTCCATCTCTCCTCCTCTGTACTCATCATAGTCCTTACTACCGGAGAACTGAAAGTTGGAGCTAGGTAGAGGAGCTACACTTAAACGTGGACCTAAACAATATCACTATTTTAAATTTGTTAAAACAGTTTGGTTATGATGATCGACTTCTACTAAGGATGATTTTTTTTCTTCGAAAAAGTAGCATCTTTTTTTGCAAAAGCAAAGCAACATTATATAAATAAAAAAAGAAAAAAGAAGAAATGAAATAAAAGTTTAATAACACAATAAATCGTCGATTTAATTTTTTTTCGTTAATTCCAAGTAACACTAAAAAACTCTATTTTTGATGCCCTGACAATTCGTTTACGATTTTACAAAATACATTTCTGAATTCAGTTTTTCAAGACAAACACTTTGATATCCATCTTAATTTGTTTTGACTTTTTTTACATTGTTGTAATACAAATAAGAACAATTCTTGATGAGTTAAATTTTTTTTTAACTTAAATAGAAATTGTATTTAAAAAAATTAAGGACTGGTGCAAGATGGATTAGAGCATTTTTATCAAGTGGCCCACGGGTTACCATTACATATATGGCAAAAACAATATACGAGCCATTGAATACCATTAAGAGAAGGATACTTAAATGTTTCCCAGGTTGCCAAAATATTATTATTATTGTTGCAGTTATAGGACAACCAGTTCTAGTACAATAATGATCCAATTCTTATACACACATTTTAGTTTTATAAATTACTAGCTTGGGAACCCGGCGCTGCCCAGGTTACCCATAGTTAATCCCGCCGTTTACCCGCACATAGTCGATTTTACCAGGTAACTAAATTTTCACTAAAAACTTAGAATCTCAAAACTAGACTAAACTAAAAACATTCCCGTGGTTCTCACGAGTTCCCCAATCAAAATTTGAGGCTAATCGGTTCAGGGGTTCTTGAGTTATGATCTGACAAACAAACAGAGATTAAAACTTTATAAATATATATAATACTCTCGTTTCCATCATTAAGATGTATTGTATTCACATTGAAGGCAGCGGCAATATTTAAATAAAAAACAGAAACCTTCGTTTGGTAGATATATTCTGCTCTGAGGTCTCCGCCCTGAACTACGGACCGGAGAAAACTCCGCCCTACTCGGAGGGAATGATGGGTGTCCACTAGGATGCTGGAAGCCGCCACTATGCTGACGACCATGATTAATGGCGGACTGGACGGATTCATACTCGTAAAAGTTAGAGACAGGTCTCTCCGACCTAGTAGCGTGTTCTCTTCTCTGCAATAGTTTGATCATATAATAAATAAGTCTTTTTAACCCTTTCGCATCGAGAGGGCATTATTGACTTTGCACCAGAAAGCCGAGAGCTTCTTGAAAAATGTTTGAAACAGAAAGGTCATAAATCCACAAGTTGATAATCATGATAAAATTTTTTTTCTTATGCGAATAAAATAATAAGAATATATGAAATTAAAAATATTTTGTCTAGAATAGGTTTTAGAAATGTCCAATATTGGTATCCCAATACTGGAGGTAAAAAGATAAAAATTGGTTTCATCCGACCCATATTTACGAATGGGTTAAATCTAGGAAAACACAACGTTCTTTAGTTTTTTTTTTTTTAAAGAGGAGTTATTATTAAAACCATGTGAGATTCAAGCTAACATGAAATATATTTAAGTTGTTAAAAATAAAAATAAATTTTTAGGAACTAAATAAATTAGAATAAATTAAATCGAGATTTCATGTAAATCACCATCAAATTGCTAATTAAGTGCTAGATTTAAATAAAATAATACCTGTGAATGATATTGTGCTTGTCGTCTATTTAAATGCCTCTGAATCTCTTCATAGTTTGCGAACCTAGGATCTGTCGCGGTTCCCGATATTCCAGATCTACTCCCTGGACGCGCAGCAGCTAGACTAGCGGGCAGAGCAGGTTCACCACTATACACGCTCTCGGATCTCTCTTCTTGTGCTGGAGGATCAAAGTTCTCAGATTCTTGTCTCTGCTGCAGTAATCTCTTGTAGTGCTGCTGAATTTTTGCCTGCTCATGCAGCATTCGTTCTCTAGCATCCTCGTCCTTCCGATCCAGTTCTTCCGAGGGAGTCTTCCGGGAGGAGGAGTGATCTCGTTCAGGTATTGGAGTAGGAGTTTTTCTACCGCTACTCCGCATAGCATCAGTGCTCTTAGCACGTTGTTTTCCAAATCTAAAATATAATATATTCAAGAAATATTATTTCAAATGGAAAAGTTAGACTTTCGGTCAACCGACAGAAGTACTAATAAATGTACTCAGTTACAAATTTTAAAGAAAGCACTGCTTACAATCCATTTAATTTTGATGCAGATCCGGATCCGGGCCCGAATCTTGGATTCGCACTGGAAAAAATGAATCTGGATCCAGATCATAAATATATCTTTGAGATTTGATCATTTTTTATTAGCAGAAGAATTCTCAAATTATTTTCTACCCTTTTTCCTCGTTATTTTTATGCTAAAATCTTTTCAGATACAACAATTTTTTTTTTGATAATCTCTTTTTTTTCAACAGTTCAGACTTTTGTTAGCAGTTTTTAATTGATATTTTGACCGTTGGATCCGGACCATGGATCCGCATATTCTTGAGGATCCGGATCCGGATCCGGATCCGGAAAGCCGAAATGTTGCGGATTTTAACCACTAGCTGCTAGTATGAAACTGTATAATACCATCTCATATAAAACATGGCGGCTTTTTGTCCTCAAGATATAGAATATTTCATACATTTTGATCTAATTTTTAGGAAAGTTATAAAATTTAAAAATGTTGATTCAAACATAATTTAATACAAAAGTTTAAACTTACTTGAACATGCCAAAACCTTTGAACAGCTTTTGATTTTTCTTCTTCTTATCGTTGTTAGAATCCAGACTACTTCCTGACTGTCGGTATTCAGCGCGGTCGAAGGTATCAATAATCTCAGGATCTAGGGGGAATTAATTAATTGGATAAGTTAAGGATAGGAATTTTTTTAGCCTTTCTTTAATCTTTTTAAACATGAAAATTATAATTTTTCCCCAAAGATATTTCTGGAAAAATAAATGTTTTGTAATGGAAACCGTGCCAAAGATTTTAACAACTTCTGCCAGCTGAAAATCCGTTTTTACTTTTTTAATAGAAAATATACATTTATTCTTTGTACCTGGTTGATCCTCATTATCTTGGGCCTCATAACTTCTATCTACAGCAGCTCGGAAACTTTCATTACAACCTCGTCCTCGAACCACACGACTCGTCTTCACACGGTTCGCCTGCTTTCCACTCTCCATCTTCATCTCTGTCATCATAGTCTGCAGGGACTCCAGGCTGCTGGACTTCTTCATACCCAACATTGGACCGATGATTCCTCCAGTAGTCTGTTCTCTCTCTTGTCTTGCTTTCTTATTTCTCTGATACGTGTCCGTGGATTTAGCATCAAGCGTTGCATGACGTTTTTCACTCATCGACTGACGACCTGGCTGATCACGAGCAAAAGCAAACGACGCTTCCTCTAGAGATGTCTGACTTGCGTATGCTACATCAGTAACGGTGATATCAGAGTCCTTTTCAGAAGCTCCTTCGCAACCATCCGGAGAGTGGGGTCTGTTAAATTTTGAGTTAGCTGTTACTTTATTTCCTTCAACGTACTGTTCAATCATAACAGTTTCTCCAGGAACCTGATGAACGGTCGGACTTTGAAATTTACTATCAGTAGTATCCATGAGGTTGAGCTGGGTTGCATTCCACGTATCGTGCCCTGTTGCTCTGTAGTAACTATCGTTTCTCAGACCCGCATCCACCTGTTTATCCTTCCGTCCCATTAATCTGTCTACTACTGGGTTTCTTGGTACAGCAGGAGCTATAAAGTTGTCAAATACTGCGGTTTTAGGTTTTTCTACATAAATTACTGTATCATTGTTGGACATTATGGATGTATCGTTTAAGGAGGAGTTATTTAACCCGCTTTTATTCAAACTGTCCTGGCCAATCCTGTGCTCTCTAAAGCTATCATCTCCCGAGCTAGAGGTTAACATGCTAGTAACAGATTCCCGTCCCGTACTTCTTAATCGCATACTTGAATTCATTGAAGATCCAACATTTAGCCGTCGGGCAACTGTCAGTGTAATAACTCCGGGTGTCGGACCTTCTTCGTGCATTGCTCGCCTTAGTGTGTCCATGGCATCACAATTTGCTTTGCCAAGTAGAGATATACCGTTAATATTGACTAGCTGATCATTTGTCTTCAAACGACCGTCTCGAGAGGCGGCGCCGCCGTTTATCACGTTTTTGACAAATATCCCAAGATCAACGATACCCTTCGTGCCTCCTCCAGTTGTCTTTCCCTTGACAGACACTCCGAGACCGGCACGCTCCGTGTCATGCACAGGAATATCTAAAGTAAGAATTTCACGATGTTTCCAAGGAAAAACAATTTCTCCTTCTTTGTTCATTTGAAGGTCTGGAGAAATTGAGGAGAAATCCTCAGATTCTTCGCTGTTGGGAACTGTACTGCTTTTAGATGAACTGTTTGTATCTTCCATCGCAAAGGAGGGGTTCAGTGGAGTATTTCTAGTCATTTCTTTTCTATCCAGAGTATTACATTGTTCAATCTCTTCAACCCTCTCCTGTCTAGAGACCAGCAGAGCAACCTGTCCCTGCTGGGGGATATTCCTGAGCATGGCAACAACATCAACCTGACTTTTACCGTCAACAGAGAGTTGATTGATTTCAAGCAAACGATCTCCGGGTTTCAGTTGACCATTCTCTATAGCGGCTCCCTTAGGAAGGATGTGCTTGATATAGATTGGAGCTACACCACCGGACTGAATATCTCGTGTGGTTATACTAAAGCCTAATCCATGAGGACCCTGAAAATATGTGTTATATGATTTCAGTAGATTAATGTGTTTTTTCTTTTCTTCGGTTGAATTTACATTTCGTGTATAAAATGCTTAATGTTAACAGTTATCAGAGAAATCAATAAAAAAATATTTAATAAAAATAGTTTTATAATTGCGAAGCATGCTGATAAGATCTGTATTTTTATTACTACCCACATATTTGTAGTACAATTTTGATAAACTTTAAACATTAATTACCTTAACTAGGTTTATTAATATCTTTCTCCCAAGTTTTCTAGTATTAGCTGCTTGTACTGCACTGGTGAGCTTGCTGCCAGGGGCATATCTTCTTGCCAGACTTCTAAATACATTTATTAATTCAGGGGTGTGCGAAAAGAGGAATTTAAATCAAGCACACACAACCTTCTCCCTTGTAACGCAAAAATTAGCTCAAAGCTATAAAAACAAATATATACAGGGTGTTCCAAAAATAACCCTGCGGGTGTTTTAAGGGCACTTTGTATTATTTTTCTTTAAAAATCTTAGAACAATAGTGACCAAGATAAAATGACTAAATGATGGTTTACAAAAAATGGCCGTACAAAACCACCTAAAAAACCCAAACCACAAAATCTTTGTTCACTTACCCGAATCCTTCTTTTTCATTGTCTATGTTCTCTTTATTCTCATCTGACATAAAATATTCAGAATTTATCATGTTTTCTTGATCTAACTCAGACTGAAGTTTTTCAACCAACAGCTCTAGGTTCTTCGCAAACAATGCTTCCTTAAATATTTCCTGAGCTTTATTAAACGGAAGGTCTATAAGTGTGTAGCCATTGATCTCGACAATTCTATCGTTGACGGCTAGACGACCGTCCCGGTCTATCCGGCCACCGGGTTCTATTCCTTGGATAATTAATCCAGGATTAGACGGATCTCCACTGGGAACAACATGTATACCAAGAGGTCCAATTTCATTTTGAATTACAACTCTTGTCAAGTTTTCTAGGTTTATTTGAGAAGGAGGAGGGTGGGGAGGGCTGGATCCTCCCAGAGGTTCTTTTCTTTGACTAGCATTTTCAAACATTTCTATTTTTGCATCAATTGATCTCTGTTGACGTTCGTGAAATATTTGTTCATGAGATTGAAGATTTGTTAATGATTTGGCCTGGTTAGCTTTCTCTGCAGCTTCCAGCCATCTACTATCTTCATGCCCTATTTGAATAGACAATCGGTTGGAGTCTCGAGAGAACGGGGTTGGTCTGTCGGAATCCCTGGCAGCTCCAGAGCCCCGTCCTCTTTCGAACGGAGGTGGAAGTGGTGATAGTTTCCTGGGATCCAGGTTGGATTCACTAAAGAACGACGCTTCATCTATAACAGATAAATCATTTTTACTACATCTAATGTCGCGGCTCATGACAGCTGCGCTCCACCGTTTAGAATGATCATCATAATACCCTCCGTCCTGCGTTGATGAACCTTGAATACGATTCAAAGCAGGTTCACTTCCTCTCCGCACTTGTAGTGAATTACCACTTGGATCATTGAACCCCTCGCTGTCGTGTCTGCTGTATCCAGAATTGGTTTCGGACTCGTCCGAACTAGCAGACATTCCATCCCCGCCTTGTGGTATCCCTTCCTCGTCATAGAAGGCGATAAGCTGCTCCCGGTCATCACAGACGTCGACCAGACGATCGTCTGGGTCTAAGATACCACCTTCCTTAGCTTTTAAACTGTGGACGCTAACCCAGGACTGGCGTGGTTTAGCTGTAGCTTTCTTATACCTGTAACATGGACCAAAAGTTAATAAGAGAAATGTGCGTTATTAAAATGATTTAATCTTTTTGAGACGGAAGATGCTCCCAATAGATACTGAAGGATAAAAAGAAAAACTGAGTTTTTAGAACATATAATAAAATAATTTTAAGTAAAATCTCGGGGTCTGTCCTAGAGAACGATTTTTGGCCCCCCCCCCCCCAATCAATTTTGTACATGACCATTTTTTCAATAATTTTCAATTAAATTAGTATTTATTTAGGGTTTGGTTAGGTTAAGTGACTTTCTGTGCCGAGCGCTGCGGCTAAGACAGGCTAGGGGGCCGAGCGCTACGGCCACATGTCTTACATTTAAGATCCATGTACAAAATTGATAGGAGGGGGGGTCCAATAATCGTTTTCTAGGAAATTACCAAATCTTGCACAAAATTGGTTTATCCCAATAAAAAACAAACTAAGAAAATAACATAAACAATCACCAAGAAAACCAAAATTAAAACTTAAGTATTAAGCACACGTATTATTTAGATGCATCTATAAATACATTTTTGTAATGAGAGTTTTTATGGAACATGGCTGGGTTAAAATTTATAAATATCTTTACGAATAGAAAAAACGTCGATAAAATAGTATCTAAAGTTAAAGTAAAATTTTATTCATAAAAATATATAAACCTGGTGGTAGCAAGCTGTGTTAGTTCCCTAACTGTGAGTTCTCCATCACCGCAGGGAACCACGATCTTCACCGTGCTGAACGTCACAGTAACCTTCATGATAACGATGTTGCATCCCCCAGAGTTTTAAATCAAACTTTCACGACACAGCAAATAGAAAATCTACCCGGATATGTTAATTGTCTAGTAATTTTAACTTTAAAATGAGAAATTGAGCATTTGAGGAATGTTGGTTAGTTCCGTGTTTACATTTTTTAAACTGACGCCATTTTGTTTGTTCAGTTGTTTTCTGGAATTCTAATTGTAAACTTGTAAATGCCGCAATCATTTCTTGATAAATATTCATTTCTCTAGACTCGAATGAAGAATACGGGTGGTGTATTTTTCGACCTACGCAAATCCACTATACTCCACTTCTGACCTACGCCAAAAAATCCTCTATACCACACATGCGACCTACTTGCAAGTNACGCTGGCCAAATCCTCTATACCACACATGCGACCTACTTGCAAGTGGTTTTACAGCTGCTATATGGACTTGTGGCCGCAGCGCCGGCCCCCTAGCCTGTCTTTTCCGCGGCGCTCGGCCCCTAGCCTGTCCGAGCCGCAGCGCTCGGCTCAGAAATTGTCTTAACCTAACCCTAAAATAATACAGGGTGTCCCAAAAAAAAAACATGGGAGTTCAGCGACGAATTCGATATCGTCTTTGTTATGAATTATCATTGTAATACCTAATTTCAAAAGCAATATAATATTATTATGTCTGCCAGAGTTTATTTTATGGAAAGGGTAAAAGACTATAAAGAATTGTCTATAATGTCTCAGCACGATGAACAGTGAAAACGGACAAGTTTACTCTGTAACTGCAATTTTCTTGTTAATTACTAAGTACGCAGTCAAAACATAAACAAACAAATTGTAAACATAGCAGACGAAACTTTTACAGATTACAGCTGTATCACTATACTAAATCAAAGAATTATTTAAAAAGACGATATCGAATTCGAATTCCCATGTTTTTGGGACACCCTGTACAAAAAGAAACAGCTGGCTTAGGTCCGATATTGCAGTAGGTCGGAAGTTCAGTAGAGGGATGTTGCGTATAGACGATGTAACCATACCAGTATAGCGGATTTCCGTAGGTCCTATCGTTACAGCATCAATTTTGTAGACTCGAGAAATATATGCATTGGCTAGGATCGATTTACTTTACTCCGCCTCGCAAGCAAGAAAAGATTTGATTAAGTACGCCATTAAAATTTGTAGGCAAAAGTGTAAATGATTGCTGCTCTTTATTAATACTTTCCACCAGGTAAACAAATTTTAATTATGATCTTCATTTATCTGCATTGTATAGTTATGTATTTGAAATTCCGTTATTTATGACTCAGAACGATTTTTGGACCCCCCCAGCCCCCCCCTCATATCAATTTTGTACATGACGAAATTAGTATTTATTTAGGGTTTGGTTAGGTTAAGTGACTTTCTGTGCCGAGCGCTGCGGCTAGGACAGGCTAGGGGGCCGAGCGCTGCGGCCACGGGTTAGGTTAAGTTAAGACACTTTCTGTGCCGAGCGCTGCGGCTAAGACAGGCTAGGGGGCCGAGCGCTACGGCCACATGTCTTACATTTAAGATCCATGTACAAAATTGATNACGGGGTCCAAAAATCGTTCTCTAGGTTTTATACCTTGATTTTGAACAACTCGTTTGAGAATTTTTGAAGTGCGATTTTTGTCAAATCTACTACAGAAGGTTTCATTACTACATTATTATTTGATGTGAGCTATTTTTTTACTACATTGTTGAAACGTTGAATACCTTTTATTTAGGATATTTCAAATTTGCAACCAGGATTGCTAAGAAATCAAAGTTGAATTAAGGTAAGAAGAGTCATTTAGTTTAATGCGTTTAAGACGCTTTGCGCCCCTCTTCTAGCAACAATGTGAGGGTTTTAATAATTTTCTTTGCATTTATTAAACTCATAATTTTCGTATTTTTCCGTTAACATTGATATATTTCTAAAATTTTAAAGAATTGACATTTTTCCAAGTAAAAGTTTTTACTTTTAACAGTCCATACTCCATAAACCTTTCCGTTAATTTCCTAAAGAACGATTTTTGGACTAACCCTCCTTTCCTATCAATTTTGTACATGGTTATAATTGGTCATGTGGCTAAATTCGTTCACTAGGGCAGCATACCTCTCCTTGGGTGAGTTGCCACAAAATATTTTGGATCTGATTGGTTGAGCCGTTTGGACGTTTACAGGCATTAAAATAGACAATCAGGCCAAATTTATAAATAAATATGCCTTAAGTTCAACTGTTAATTTAAACCTTATGAACTACTGAACCGTTGACAATTTTATTTGGGTTTTGTTTAACATATTTTAACATTTTTAAGGTATTTCCTCTCCAATAGTTCTTTAAACCTTCATCGTGAACTTACAAAATAAAATTAATCGATTTATTCACATATATATACATATATAAGATGATAAACCTTATTTCAAAAGAAAAAATCAAAAATGAGACATTCCTAAAAAATCTTCCCGAGGTCTGACAAATCAATCCATTATTCCTACATCGTGCTCTCCTTGCATTTACAGTTGTAACCCTTCAACCTATGTCCACATTAAAGCAAACCCAAGTCAAGATTACGACGTATGAATTCTTGATTTTCACAGAGATAATAATAAAATCGATTTTAGCAGAGGTGATCAAATCGTGACCTCCTCGCAAAGACTCAACATTTGCTAGATTTCAAGAATAATTGGACCAGAAAAGAAAATCAAGAATTTGAATCATCAAAAAGAAACTTGACACAATATCTTGTTCGTGGGTCTTTTTACAATGGAATTGGTTAAAGATAAAGTTGATAGGTATTGAAAACTCTTATAAGCTATAAACATTAATGGATTTAATATTTTGGGGGTTATTTGATTTCCTTTTTCAGGAAGCAGCATAACACTGAACAGTTAAATATGTCGGATACTCCTAAAAGGTTAAAAGAGCTGCGTGTAGCAGACCTTAAGGTGGAGCTGGAGAAACGAGGACTGCAAACCAGTGGAGTCAAAGCTGTTCTCGCAGACAGACTTAAGGTTGCTCTGCAAGAGGAAGGAGTAGAACCTGAGGAATTCATCTTTAACAACGAAGAAGAACAGAAGAATGAAGAAGCAAAGGAAGATTTGGAGGAAGAATTAAAAGAAGAAGAAGCAAAAGAAGATGAAGCAAAAGAAGAAGGTCCCGATGATAAGAAGGAAGAAAATGTCAGAGAGGATGAGAAGATTGAAGAACCTGTAGTTGTAGATGAAAAAGAAGTGATGACTGCAAGCAAGGAGGAAACTGCGATCTCTGAAGATGCTTCTGCTGAACCTGAAAAATCATCTGATGTAGAGGAAAACAGGGATGTGATTAAGAATGGAGGAAATGAAGAGAAGGATATGGACGAAGATTCTTTAAATATTATGGTTGGGGACGAGGATAACCTGTTTGGAGAAGAAGATAAGATAAACGCAGCCCCTGGGTCACCTCCTAGACCAGAAAATGCCCCTGTCAAGTATCCCTTCACAAGCAAGGATACGATATGTCTCAGCTCAAGGTCGGAGAAGCCACCAAGCGAAAACAGTTCCATGAGGGTCAACCCTGATGAAAATCAAAGTATTGGCAGCCATGATTCCAACGAGGGTTCCAAAGATGGACAGACAAATAAAACTCTAAATGGTGGAGATTCTAAAACTCACAACAAGACTGAGAAGGAGAAGAATGTCGAATCTACAATTCGAAACCTGTGGGTCAGTGGTCTTTCTAGCACTACCAAAGCTGCCGAAGTTAAAACTTTGTTTAGTGCCTACGGTAAAGTTTCTGGTGCCAAGATTGTTACAAACGCTCGATCTTCTGGTGCAAGATGTTTCGGATACGTGACAATGGCGTCACCAGAAGATGCTGCTAAATGTGTTGAGAAGCTCACTAAAACGGAGCTTGGAGGAAACATGATTATAGTTGAGCTAGCTACCCCTGAAAGTGGACCTAACAGACACGAAAAGAAAGAAGATTTAAAGGTTACAGTGCAGAACATGCGCAGCACTTCACGAGATGTTTCTAGACGAGAGGACAGAAGCAGAGCTGGCGGATCCCACTCAAACCATGGGTCCCATCATACTGCTAGAGCTGGGTCTCGTCGCTCTGCATCTAGGAGGGATGAAAGACGCTCAGATGTTAGCCGCTCCGATCGTCAAGGGAGCTCTAGGAAGGAAGACAGTAGAGCATCTGGTCCTGTTCTCACTTTTAACCATATTAGGGATCAGAGACGAAAGGAGCAGGAACGAGAGGAGGAGCGACGAAGACGAGAAAGAGAGAGAAGGAGAGCAGAAGAAGACGAGAGGAAGAGAAAGGAAGCCATCCGAAGACAAAGAGATGAGGAAGACAAGCTGAGGAGAGAAAGAGAAGAGTTGAAAAGGGAAAGAGAAAAATTAGAGAGAGAAAAACAAGAATTGATGAAGTTTGAGAGAGAACGTCAAAGAATGGAACGGGAAAAGTTGGAGAGAGAGAAGGAAGAACTGGAACGTCTAAGACGTCAACAGATGAGTGGCCGCGGAGCTGTAGATGATCGAAGAGGAAGCAAGAGACAAGCAGAAGACAGAGATCCCTTTCACGGAGAAAGGAAGCGAATAAATCAAAGAGAAGAGTTTACATCTGATCGTCGGGGTAGGTTAAAAAATAATAATTTAAGTTTAAAATTTTTATAAAAATCAAATTGACCTAAAAAACTTTAATCCTCTCTCTTAGATCTTTTAGTTTAAATCTTACATATTTCGTCCAACATCTCATTACTACATAGGTGCATTCGACATTGGTGTGAGGAGAACAGATGACAGATCTGGCATGTCCAACAGGTATGAAAGATCCTCCAGGGAAATGATGGGATCTAGAGATGTTCAATCTAGTTCTAGAAGCGTAGGAAACGGGCGAGACATGAACTTGGGACGAGGGGGAGGCGGCGGTGCATCCAGGGATCATGGGAGTTCTAGAGATTATGGTAACAAGGATATGTTAAGTGGAAGAGGCGGCTCTTCCAGGGATTTAGGATCAACCAGAGATTCTGGTAGGATGGGTGGATCAGACTACAGGAGTTCAAGGCCTTCGCATGGAGGATCTCACGTCTCCGGTAGTGGTTCAAGATCCTCGGGGCTTGGAGGCAACCATAGTAGTTCACATCCGGGTAGTTCACATGGAGGGAACTCTCACGGAGTAAGTTCTCATGTTGGAAACTCTCATTCTGGATCAACATGGTCAGGAAATAAGAGTGGAGGACATTTTGCTGGAAACAGTGTCAGTAGTAGCTTCTCAGGGAACCAGTCTGGAGTTGGAGACTGGAACAGAGGTGGAGGAATGGGTGGAAATAGTTTGCAGAACCAACCGAGAAACCTACCAATGAGTGGAGTGAATTTGCCCCTGGGAGGAATAACTCCGTTCCAGGCTATGGCTACCAATCCGTTCATGAACCAGCTGAGCGGAACCGGTCTGGGTGGAAGCAGTGGTGTAGACCGATACGACGGATATAACAATGTTAAACCGTCGATGATGAATCAATCTAGGCGTTACTAGATATTACTGCATTATTTTCGATTATTTTTGCTTATTTTTGCGTTTTATTATATTCCCTTCTAAGTGAGCACTGAATTGTAAACTTTGTAAGATATTACCCGTTCTTAAAATATAAATAATCACTTTGCTATAGGCTTTGATTTCAGCGATTGAAGTAAGGTATCGATCATTAGGGGAACAAATTTGGCTCATGTTGATCTGAGAAACTTTGAAACCAGAAAAAAAAGAATCTTTTCATCAAGGTTCAAATTCCAAGTTAAATAAAAAGATGCAACTTGTTTGTCAATGTCTAGCGAGATTTAGAGAAAATTTTGTTGAAAACTTGCCATTAGTTGGAGTCCAGAGTTATCTGTCGAATCAGGAATTTTTTAATGAGAAATAAGATCAGTTGAATATTAGATTAGATTATTTCCATGATAAGAGTTCGTCTACTAGAAATATAAGAATGCTGGGACCGATGAAAAGCCAAAACGTTGGAATGAATTTGATGAATCTGTCAATCAGACGACCCTCAGGAAAAACGAAGAATTAAGCCACAGGTTTAAGCTTCATATCTTCATTAATATACCACCACAAAAACGAATGAGAAAACTTTTCAAAAATATTTTTATTTGTATAAGGTCGAGAATTGAGAAAATATGCCAACTGTTAAGTTTGTCTTAAGCTTTTGACGTGGAATGAGAAATTTTATTCAGGATTTTGAAATACAAATTTTTGGTCAATCAGAGATACAAGTCAATCGATTTCTCTCTTCATCTCCCGGAGACAGTTCTCCACTACTCCCTTGGGATCAAGTATCTACCGGAACCCTCTACCAGTCCATACTCCGACCTTACTGTGAAACCGTGTGTCCTGAGCCAATGATTATCCTGATAAGTAAAGGTAAGACTGATACGTGTTGATATTTAGAGGATATATTGATGAGATGAACTGAAAGATGAGAGTGCAGTATCCTTCAGACTTAAACTTCACCTGGAGTAAATATGGAATATAAATATTACGAGATGGCCACGCTGACCTTGGAGAACAGAAGTGGATCTTTGAAAAACTCCATCTTAAAATTTCTATAATCTTATTTAAAAACTTTTTCAAACTCTTTATATCATTAGTGATAAAAAAATTTGCGTCAAAATAAATATTTAGATATTACAAGAACTTATCAGCTTAATAAAATATTTTTCCATGTTCAGGATATGTTTGTGTTGATTCGAGGTGAGCCCTGTTTACCTCGGTGTGAGGTGATAGGGTTGGATATCCTGGCAACCAGACATCCTAAGCTATTTGGTCTAGTCGTAGAGAGAATGGGATTCAATCAGGACCAAAACAACGTAGGTAATAACGTTTTAAGCCAGGTCTTCAAATTTTCGATCGTTCATATTTGAGGTTTTTTCAATTTCGGTTATTAAGTTGGACTTTTTTTGGTCGTGGTTTGGGAGGAAAGGGACCCCGCCCTCCAAAAAATGCAAGAAATCTTTAATGAAATTTTTTTGTGTGCATTTGATTTTTTTTCACTGAATTATTGCATAAAACCAAGAAACTTTTTCCCGAGCTATATTTGTTAGAGTTTTTTTACTTGAAATCAAAATTGATATATTATAATTTTGTTTTTTGTTCACTAGTTGTATGTGATGGTGAAGTAGATGAAAGATGCCAACCTGATCCAGCTGGACGGCAAATAAGCCTGAAACCTAATCTTTATCCTACAGACGTTCTCAATATACTCACGGAGACGGGAGGGTTCGTGTTCAGGGATTCATCTTCTCAGGGAACCGTGGTTATCTGGAACCTGGAGAAGTGAGGAGAACCCGGAGATAGAAAAATTACTTAATTCTGTACAGAACAAACATATGTGATTAATTAATGGCTGTGTGATTTATTAAGAATTTAAATTAATATTCAAAATAATATTATATAACCTAATACGTCCGTTATTTTGATATTTTAGTTAAACGTTTATTCAAGAACTTATAAATTTAATAATGAGCTTGAACAAAAAAATTATTGATATAAACGATAATAGTCTTTTTTCGGGTAAAGAATTGTTTTTTTTTAGAAATTTTTTTTTATGGTTACTTTTTACACCAATTCGTTATTGGTTTTTCACATATATCTGACATATTTCACATTTTGTGGATTTTTTTTGTCCATTTCCAGGAACTTGGTAAGATATAAAAAATAGTAAGTGTCTGCTTATAATAATAAAAAGATCTATAAATTATTAATATTTTTGAACCATATCTTTAAACCTATGGATGGGTTTGAAATTGGAAGTGATTATTGGGAAAGTTCATTTAGTGCAAGACTATTTAGTAGTACATTTTATTTTTTAAATTTAATTTTTCAGAAATAATGGAACATACTAGGACGGGAACCGAGGGAAAAAATGAAAATATCGATGAACTTTTAAACAGTGCCTTGGAGGACTTGGAGAATATTCCAAAGAAAACTAAGAAATCTAAAACAAAAGTTAAGAAAAGTGTCGAAGATGAACTTATGGGGCTAATGGAAAAAGTTGGATTTGCCGGTAGTACAAGAGAATCTCTTAACGCTGAAATGTTAAATTTATACAAGATGGCCGAGAAGAACAGGGCTGAGTCGTCGGCAACCTCAATTCAGGACGCACTGAACCAACTCGCCTTAGACTCGGAGAAACTGCAGGAATTACCAACTGAAGAGGAAATGAACAAGATGTTTGATGGAGTACAAGGAGCTGATCTTGAACAAGGATTAGGAAATCTGATCCCAATGATGGAAGGAATGATGCAGACACTGCTCTCTAAGGATCTTCTGTATCCTGCAATGAAGGATTTGAATGACAGGTTTCCTGACTGGCTAGCAGATAATAGGCAAACCCTACCGGAGACGGAATATGCTAAATACAACAAACAGTTTGATTTAGCGCGAAAGATTTGTATTGAATTTGAAAGCGAGAAGGAAGTGAAAAGTTCAAATTCTGATGATAAGGAAAGATTTGAGCGAATAATGGGTTTAATGCAGGTGATTTATTTTCAGCTATCGTAGAACTTGTTTACAAACGGTTCGAGTGCTTTTTTTCAGAATTAAGGATCTTGTCTTAGAGAATGTAAAGCCTAGGTTTAAAGCGTTTAATAATAATAAGGGTCTTGATTGATAGAAATAGGTTTCCAAGGTTCAGAGCATGAAGGTTCATAGTACGAATGCTGCTTGATTATTCAGGTTAAGATTATTAAGGACATTGAATGAGAGCATTTAAGGTCTAGACCTAGATCAAGAGTATGAAGGGTCTAGGAAGATACCTTATTAAGGTTCTAGGTTTTATGTATAGACCATGATAAGGAATGAGGGAGATTAAGTTTAGGTCATAGTGTTAGGTTCAGATTATAATGAATCAAGGTTCAGACCATGATGAATCAAGGTTCGGACCATGATGAATCAAGGTTCAGAGTATAATGAATCAAGGTTCAGACTATGATGAATCAAGGTTTAGACCATGTTTAATCCAGGTTTAGACCATGATGAATCAAGGTTTAGACCATGATGAATCCAAGGTTTAGACCATGATTAATCAAGGTCCAGACCATGATGAATCAAGGGTTAGACCATGATTAATCAAGGTTTAGACCATGATTAATCAAGGTTTAGACCATGATGAATCAAGGTTCAAACCATGATTAATCAAGGTTCAACCCATGATTAATCAAGGTTTAGACGATGATGAATCAAGGTTTAGACCATGATTAATCAAGGTTTAGACCATGATGAATCAAGGTTTAGACCATGATGAATCAAGGTTTAGACCATGATGAATCAAGATTTAGACCATGATTAATCAAGGTTTAGACCATGATGAATCAAGGGTTAGACCATGATGAATCAAGGTTCAGACCATGTTGTATCTAGGTTCAGACTTCAGAGTATAACAAAGTAGAACTATTTTGAGCCATTTTTAGAAGGAAAAAGTTTCCTTAAGGAAAAAATATTTACAAACCACTAGTAAAAAATCATCAAAACATGCTAACAATATTCTCTTAAAGCAGCTATGAATACTGTCTGTATTTTTGCTTATAGACATTTCCAAGTTTTCGAGTTAAGGCCCAAAAACGGATTATTTTTGGACTTAATAAAAATTTAATCCTAATTATTTATGAACGGATTTTTACGATTACATCATTTTTGATATCCATAATGTTTTATTTTGACAAAAACTTGCATTACTTACATCATCACAAAAATCCAATAAAAACGTCTTTACTAAAATACGTTTTCATATCCAATATGTATGCTATTTGGATAAAAAAGTGTAATTTCTAAGCAAGCTTTATTAGGAATATTAGAAATTGACTTTTAAGCCATTGTTATAAAACTTAAATCATGTTTTCTTTGAGATGGGTTGTTTTATTGAACTTTAAATTTTGTTTTCAAAATATGAAAGTTTTAAGAAACAAATAACATTTTCACAATCACATTCTCCCATTTATCTATGTTTCTAAGCAAAACTAAAATATTTAATGATACAAAATTTCAATAACGACAATCTTTCCAGGAGATGCAAGAGCTTGGGCATCCTCCGACAGAACTGGTTGGAGGAGAAGGAGGTGGGTTTCCGATGAATGGGTTGGGTTTACCAACCTCTCCGGAGCAGTGTGCAATCTCATAATTATGTGCCATAGTTCCATACATATTCTCAAACATTCTTCGTACACCATCTGTTGAAATGACTTCATAAAACTAAAAAAATTCTTTCTCATTGATATTCATTATAATACGTCGGAGATAAATTCAGATTTAATTGAAATGGAATTAATTGTTAATTGAAATTAAAAACCCATTCACCTGGCGAGCTAAACGTGTACAGAATAGAAATGATCGATCTATGCTTCTAGAATTTTAGGAGAATCTTAATCTGTCCAAGAGTTTTTTTTAACTGAGAACTGGAATTGGATTTGTCTTTATTTATTTCGGAATTTATTTGTTCAAAATTTGTACAAGTCATTTCAGTAGTGGGTTAGAAGTTACATATTGCTCAATTCTTAAACCGCTGTTAAATGTGATATAATGAAAATTGGAATTTTCACCTATTATAAAAATTAAAACGAAACTTGAATTTAGATAAATTTTAACCTTCTTGAATTATCCGAAGTTTAAAGGGACTGTAGACGTAATTTTTAGTGGGCTCAGGGTGAGATTCCCGATTCATTAACGTACCCTTTAAATCATAATTGATGGGAGAAGATAAAGTCGTGTTTCGATCTTAAAAAGTATTGAATTCTGAAAATTACGTTTTTGCTTCTCCTGAAACAAACCTAAATAGAAATTATTAATTTTTAAAGGAAAATGGAAAATCAACTTTATACGAATGCGTCGAAAAAAATTGATGATTAAATATTTCAATGATTTGTTTGGAATTAAATTTGTTTTTTTAACGATCCGAGTCGAATATTGCAACTTTCTGAATTTGTATGGAAGCTACGTTCTTCGGTATGAGCCGTTTTTAACAATTTTCTCCGTACAGGCGCAACACTCCCTTTAAAGAGTAAAACTTGTATACATTTTATCATTTTTGTTTATATCTATTGTGAATCAGGCATTTTTTTTTTATAAATTGAGGTTTGCTTTGAAGCCATTACAATTTTTTTGATTAACGGAAAGTTGCATTTTTGAATGGATAACTTCATGCTTTTTATTGATTTTGAATTTTAGTTTGGTTTCATTCAGTGATTGATGACTCTGTGCCTTTGTAATTGTGATGCATTCCAGCCATCTGTGATTAATATTTAACTCATATATTGTATTCTGTAACCTGCTGTAAGCTGTATTAATCTTGACTTAGTTAGTTTACTTTGATTTTGAAAAGTGGAAAGTAGCCCTACTATTACTAAAACTATGATTGATTGATTGAAGGCTAACATTTGATCGTGTTTACGCAATTTATGTAACTTGATTTATTATTAGTTTGTTATATGACAACAAATTTTGATATTTTTTTTAAACTATTGTATTATGTAGTCGTCTTTAGTCATTTTGGGTGCTAGTATAGGATAAAATATAATTCATTTACTGAAAATTTAATGATTGTAATTTACAATATTATTATATTAGCTTAAATATGTTCAGTGAAAAAATTTGCAATAAAAATATGTAAAGTATTATTTACCTTTTGCAGATCAAGATGAAGCGTTCAGGTGGTGGAGAAGTTATAGATTTGACTGACGATGATACCTCCTCATCCAGGAATAAGATTGCCAGAACGAACTCCGGGCAAAGATCTCACTCAAACAGAAGTAGAGAATCACAGTCCTATAATACCAGTTCTGGATCTCAGAGAAGCAACTGTTATGGCCGTGAAACCGGTTTCCAGAACTATAATAGGTCCGAACGAGGATATCAAGAATCCTACTTGTCTGAAAACTGGCTCGGGTTTCAACCAACTCGCATACAACAATCTTGGGCACTTCAATTTAGGTAATAAAAAAGAAGACAAATTTAGGTAATAAAAAAGAAGAAATAATTTCGCGTAGAGATTGAATTAACGAATTAAAAGTTAAGCAAGCATTCCAGAAACCATTAGCTATTATTTTTTTAAAATTATTTACTTTTTAAGGAACAGTGAAGATAACTATGAAAGACACCAGTTCCCGGATCCCGATATATTTTCTCATCCTAGTCAAAGGTTTCGAATAAGTTTAAACCCGGATCCGGATAGGTTTACACCAGTCGCTGAGGAGCTTGCGGAACCCATACCGAGAGACAAGATTCGTTTAGGTGAGCTCTTCTCCAACCTTCAAGGTGATGTGCACTGTGACACTACTGAGGTGCCTGTGCCAGGGTGTTGTAAAGTGTACTGGTTCCAGGGTGTTGTAAAGTGTACTGGTTCTAGTGTGTTGTATAGTGTACTGGCTCCGGGGTGTTGTAAATTGTACTGTTTCCGGGGTGTTGTTAAGTGTACTGTTGTTTTTATAAAAAAATATATCTTAAATGGTGAACCCGGTCATGAATATTTAGGATTTGATAGAAATAATCTTTTATAAAATTTGAAGGAGAAAGTTTCGCTGATTTTTTAATAATCTAGATAATAATATTAATCTAGAACCAACCGAATTAATTCCATTTATGAGATGTTTACGAGAACAAAATATTTTGAAGCAGACGAAACTAATACCACTTTTTAATTCTCCGTCTATATTTTAATTAACAATATGTAAAATCTACTTTCTATATCAGGTGCCTCTAAATGGAAATCCTTAACAAACACAATTTTCGATGAATACAGGAAGACACAACAGAGTCTAGGAACCATGAAGGAGAAGATAAAACTGTGGAAGGAGATCTACGGCGCAATAATGAAGGAGTTTGATTGCGGTCTATTCGTGTTCGGATCTACCTTTAATGGCTTTGGAGGAGATGATAGTGATATTGATATGTGTTTATTCCCCCACGGTGCTCCTTCATTTGATGCTAAACAAAAATTAAATATTGTGCGGAAAATTTTAAAAGAAAATTGCAGGTAATTGCATTAAAAAATCAAACATTTTAAAAAGTATGCATGTTTGCCACTTAAAAATTCGCAATATTTTAGTCACGTTATTCGGACCAACATAGAGCTGATCCCGGCTAAAGTTCCGATTCTGAAGTTTATGGATAGACGTGGCAACTACGAGATCGATCTTAGTATTGAAAACCCTACTAGGTAGCCATTATAGTATTGAAAATCCTACTAGGAAGCCATTTTTTAAGATTAATTTAAGTCCCATATTTATTCCCTTGTCCAAAATTCGCACAAGCGTACTGAAAATAAATATCCCTGCATCATATCAAAAACTAAATTTTCACATTTTGATATATTGATATTTGACCTTGATTTCTACGGATTAATGGTTGATCGTTTATTATTGTTAATGGGGGAAAATTTTTTCTTGTAATTTTAATGAATTTACTTTTAGTATCAGGAACACTCATCTACTCTACTACTACTCTAAACTTGATTACAGGTAGAAGTTAGAACGTAAACAAAACTAAAAATACCTATTTTTCATGACTATTCATAATACAGGGGTGTATATTTTTAAGGGAGAGGGATAATTATTATTCAGATATATATACACCCCCGTAATAATGTCAAGGTTTATGATATAGAAGCGGATAAGAATCCAATGTTTCTTTTGTTGCAACTGACTTATACAGACATCAGAAAATTCAGGATTCTTTTTGGTACAATTGTGAGACTTTGCTATACACGTGGACAAATAGTAAATTATTTGATTTTTCGAAACGTACAGTTTATACCAGATAATCTCCACACGATTAGAAATCAATCTATGCACAATTGTTTTCATTTCTCGTGTCAAATACTCAGTATTTTAGAGTTTATATTTAATTTTTTTTTGTCAGAGTGCGACCCTTAGTTTTGGCTGTAAAACTATGGGCTAAACATCACAGGATAAATGAGGCTAAAAACCAAACATTATCCAGCTATACTCTAACTCTGATGGTGATACATTATCTTCAATCTGGGACTTCACCCCAGGTAAATAAGTCTCAGAAAAAAAAAGATTAAAAAATTTTTATACTCACAGATAACTTATACATCGCACTAGAAAACACTCATGTTTTAAAGATGTAAGGTACTTTCCCAAGAGGCAACTTCCCAAGGATATTTTCTAAGTGTTAACTTCCAAAATGTGCAATTTCCCAAGCGGCAACTTCCCAAGTCTTTCCTATCCACAGCGATCGGTCACTGATTGTTCTAGCCGCGGCGCTCAGCCCCCTAGTCAATCTTAGCCGCAGGGCTCGGCCCCTAATTGCAGCCAGTGGCGCTTCAGAGGGCCTAACCTAACCTTTGGAAAGTTGCCGCTTGGGAAACTGCACATTGGAGAAGTTGCCACTTAGAAAAATGTCACTTAGGAAAATGCCTTTGTGAAAGTACCAAACACCGTTTAAAAGATTGTTTCCTCTTCAGGTTCTACCCTGCCTTCACCAACTCTATCCGGACACATTCTTCTTCTCCTCCGATATATTTTGCTTGAGTTACCTCGACTCTCCGAGGTTTAGGTCGGAAAACCAGGATTCTGCAGGATCTCTACTTGTAGGATTCTTTAAATATTATTCTTCAGAGACACTCTTCAATACTAGAAGGTTTCAATCGTTAATAATTTTTTAATAAACGTAATTTCAATTGACGCTGCATTTAAAGAGCTTCATGCTTGTTTCACAACCCAATCCTTTAACTGAATATATGAGGAAGATACAGTTTTTATCTTGAAAAGAGATGAATCTGAATTGTCTCTGCTGCATAAATCCGTAATAAGTCACTTTCATTGCTTACACATAAGGTTTAAGGGTTAGTTTGGGAAACGACATTTAACACTTCAAAGGGAGGGTCACAATTACGTATACCTTTCGATTGTTTAAATGGACTTAAGGTTGTAGACTATAACGTAATTTTTGTTTCAGAGATGTCGCGAGTGTAAGAACAGGACGAATTTTAGACGGAGAAGACTGTCAGGTAATTAATTAAGCTATATAAACTGTATAGTGTATATTGTACTTGCTTTGCCCGAATCAAATTTTAACCCACCCATTCACATTAAGTTTAGATTTCTGGGACTGTAGACTTTTTCCAATCTCCTTTTGTAAGGCTCCATTTACAACGGTACCTTTAACACGTTATCTGATAAAGAATGCATGATATTCCATCATCCTTTAATTGGAAGGGACTAATGAATATTTTCAATAGTGGTTTCTCTAAATGTTGACATGCGCATTCCTGCTTCAGTAATAAAATGGAGGAAATTGTAAGAATTAAACACCGTTCAGTGTTAAAGCTAGAAAACTAATCCGAAATTGTTCTTAAACCGTATGATTCATTTACTTTAAAATATTTAACATTATCCACGAATATTATAGTTTCGTCCACCTATCCCAACCTTGAATCCTAACCTTCGGTTATCCTTGGTATGGATCATAGCCCTGAATCTGGATGGATGATCGACTTTTATTGTAAACCATTATGCAAATAATAATCGAGAAGGATAAGATATAAGAAAGTTTTGAATAATTTATTGTTAGTGGGTTTCTTCAAAATATAAATTAGCATATTTTTTTTCTCATTAGTTTAATCATAAAGTATATTCTTATCTAAACTGGCAAGACTTGTTTCATCAGGCCCAAATCTACTCTAAAAGTTTCATTTAGTTGATACAATCAATCTTATAGAATTGAAATTGATTGATTTAGGAGTTTGCCCGACGTGAGAAGTTAGGCCCGGGACAATGGACCGCTTATCTACTAGTCGAGGAACCTTTTGATAGAACCAACGCTGCCCGGGCAGTCTGCAGTGCGGACAAGTGGAGATTAATTCAATCCGTTTTCAAGGTTTAGTTTTTTCCAGGGGCTATTTGGATACAAGAATACATTTCTTGACATATTTACAGATTACTTTTTAAGTTTAAACTTCATAAACGTTCCAATGATCGATAAATCACAGCCTAACAGCAGACAAAGAAATTTTTGTATTTTTTTGAGTTTTCATTAACAACATCCAGTCTGCTTACCTGGAGTCTGAAATTCAAGAATTTATTTTCCTTTCCCTAAAAAAAAATAATCAATACTTTGTTCGCAAAAACGAAAATTTTTCAAAAGAAATACATGATGGGCAAAATGATTTTTGAACAGAGAAATGATTTTTTTTCAATGAAATATTGTTATTTGAATAATTAACCTAGTATCTGTTCTAGAGTACCTGCTCCTATCTAGAATCCACTAAAATCTCGACCCTAATCTTCCAAGATCTGCTTAACTAGAAGATAATGTTACAACCTTGGTTCTACCTGTCCTATGTTGAATTGATATATCTTGGCAAGAGTTTGAATCAACATTGATTATTGATTCAAAAGTTTAAATAAAATTTTAATAAATTTGTACGTTTTTGAACTAACTGATTGTAGCATAAATGTGATCTTGGCATAAAAGGAATATTGCAATTGACAATATACATTTTACAGTAGTGCTGGTAGATTTTAATAATTATTATTTCTAGTCATAAAAGAAATTGTTTTTAGAATGGCTTTTTACAAAAGAATAATTTAAATCATATTGCATGCTTATTGCGAAATAACAGATTGTTGAAAAGGTGAATATATAGGTCAAAACTTGCAGTGCCCGTTAGCTAATGAAGACGACCTCCAATCAAAAACTAACGGAAAATAATTTGTTCTTAGAATTGTTTATTTTACTTAGATATGAAGCATCGCCGTAATTATTTAAAGCATTTTTCTTGTGTATTGCGAAATCACAGATCTCCAAATAGAGACATGGAGGTCAAAAATTGCACTGCCAGTTAGCTAAAGAAGACGACCTTCAATCAAAAAGTTTCATAAAAGAAATTGTTCTTAGAATTGTTTGACTATCGCCGTAGTTCTGTGACGAAATTTTTAAATTCTGAGTTCAAATTCTTTTTATTCATCTTTGATCTATGTTCTACTAGACTCTTATTTCAGGGTTTATAAGTGGTTTTCGAAAATTAAAGTGACAGCCTCCAGAAATGACCAGGTCCAATTTGGTTGATATTTTACAGCTCAATTTCTCAACTCTCGAGTCCAACCCCGACGGTTCCCCCCTAGAATGAAATATCATGTTTTCTCTAACCTTAAAAGCTGTGTAAGAAAGGACCCTTGTGGTTTTCTGCAGAAATCGAAAATTTTCCATTACTACCAGCTAACATTAAATAGCCAACCCTTCCTTGGGGTCATTTGATTAGTGATAATAAGTTTCTTCGTTTTTTAGGGTTTGTGGACTTTAAAAAGGTTCCACAAAAACTTCAAAATTATTTATAAAAATTTGCTTCTCCTTCACATATTCCATATTTCGACCCTGAGAAATAAATGTATGCATAAAACGAGCGTGTTAAAGTGAACGGTTTTAGTTCGTTTTTACATTTTTTCCCCTTGGAAATTCAATAAAGAAAACAATTTATCAGAATAGAGAGATTTTTATTGGATACTAAGAAAGAAACAAACAAAAAAGCCTAATTTATAGATAAAAACTAGCTTTGGAATTTGCATGGGATTTCTAAAGTGTTGGATGCCTTTTAAATGACGGGAAAACGGGAATTTTTTTCAGGCAAATGTATTTAAAGAAGGAGAACGATTGATAAATTATACCCATCTTTATATATTTACTCATTGAAATAGATTGCATTAAATGTTTATTCACTTCTTTTTCATCATTTCTGTGGTTTATAGGATCTCTAGAATGATATATCAATGCCCTGTACAAGCGGGGGAAGGCTGACGGTCATAAGCCACAATATTTTCCCCTTCCATTCCACACATTATCTTGTTTGCCTTCCGGCAGCCATAAGCTATAACTGTACGGTCTTCCATGCCACAAAATTTGACCCTTCCGGCAATCATTCCGTTCTTAAATGATAAATTTAGTGCATTGAAATTGCAATTTTCTAAAATCTCGCCGCATTACGCAAAAGATGATACCTTTAAGAAATTTTTAGAAGTTAATTGAAGATCAATTCTGTGTTCAGTTGTTAAACAGCTTTACATTTTACAAAGAAGATTTTACATTATTTTACGCATAGTTCCTTGGTGGGCACCGAGACAAATAGTTTGGGGTAGTCTAAAGAATAAGAAAATATGAGAAAAATCACACTATTAACTTGCATTTCTTGAGTGTTAGAGATTTCCACAATAAACATTTCTCTGCAATTTTCACGTTATATGTATAATGCAAATTTTCGGTTAAGGGCGCCCTTTGAACTTTGAGCATGTTATCCGGGGCATCATTTTTATTGTTTATAATGTTTTCAAAACTAAATCAAATGTTAAAGGAAAGATTGAATTTATTTTTGGGGAAAGAAAACGGTTCAGCAATTTACATTAAAATGAATCATTATTTCATAAAAAGCTGAAATATAAAGATCTTTATTTATCTTATGCATGACGTGGCTGGTTTTTGAAAATCGCAATTTCAATGCACTAAATTTGCCATTTAAAAACATAATAATTGCCGCACAAGGGTCAAATGTTCTGGCAAGGAAGACCTTACATTTGTGGCTTATGGCTGCCGGAAGAAAAAAAAAGCTAATGTGGCATGGAAGGGAAAAATGATGTGGCTTATGGCCGCCAACCTTTACCCACTTGCGTATACCGGATTTCGCCCCGCCCCCTCAGACGCCCTTGTTTCTCCGGTTAAAATTATTCTTGATAATTTCATTGGAGGGGTATGTTTTACGATACTCACTGTATCCAAATAAAAATGTTGGGAACATTGTTGCAGACATTAATAAAGCTGTTTTCTTCTCTCGTACACTTTCATATTTCCTCCATTGTCTGCTGGTCCACAGAGTTACACGTGTCAGCTTCAGCATCCCATCATCCATCATGTTCGGTGATCTCAAATCTGCTGCGGGAGTGAAGGTTTTGAACGAGTATCTGGCCGAGAACAGTTATATCGAGGGGTAAGTCATAAGGGTAATAATTTCGGCAGGGATTTTTAGCCCCGGCATTTACCTATCATGGATTATACGGTATTTATTAATCTTATTATCATCCTGTTTCCTGATATCATCATCTCGTTCTTTTATGTAAAAGGTGTTAAATTGTGGCCGTAAAATCTAGATAATCCGCTAACTTTCTGTATTATATTTTGGTAATTTTCCACTGAAGGATTTTTGGACCCCCCCCTCCCCCCTCCCTCTCGTGTCTCAAAATGTACGTAGGAGTTCGAAACCACTTGTTACACATAGTCAACGTTGGACATGTGGTCGCAGCGCCCGGCCCCTTAGCCCATGTCCTAGCTGCAGCGCTCGGCCCGGAAATTACCTTTACTTAACTAAAATAGTCCAAAATAAATATTTGAATTTGTTGATTAAATAGGCGAAATTTAAGTAGGGTTTATTTTTTGATAATTATCGTGATAATATTAATAACGTGATTAATGTAGGTATGTTCCCAGCCAGGCTGACACCGCTGTCTTCGAAGCACTAAAGGGAGCTCCTAGCGAGCCCCACGCTCTCAGATGGTACAATCACATCCAGTCATTCGGAGCTGGCATGAAGCAGTTCGTAAAGGCATCTAAGAATGCCAGTGAATATGCTAGCGGAGCTGCGGGTGGTAGTGCTGCAGCTGCCGATGATGATGATGATGTTGATCTATTCGGATCTGACGAGGAGGAAGATGATGCTGAAAAGAAGAGGATTACCGAGGAGCGCCTGGCTGCTTACGCCGCTAAGAAGTCCAAGAAGCCTGCGCTTATTGCCAAGACATCCGTCCTGTTAGACGTGAAACCCTGGGACGACGAGACTGACATGTCCAAGATGCTGGAGATGGTAAAGTCTGTGGAGATGGATGGTCTGGTATGGGGAGCCAACAAGCTTGTTCCTATTGGATACGGTATCAATAAGCTCCAGGTTATGGCTGTTGTCGAGGATGAGAAGGTTTCTATCGAAGAACTCTCGGAGAAAATCGAATCTTTCGACGACTATGTACAATCTGTCGATGTCGCTGCCATGAACAAGATCTAAATGGTTCATATTTTTATATTTTAACAATAAATATTAATCCTTACCAGTCGACTTGTTAACAATTGATCCATTTTACTTGATTCTCTTACTGAAAATTTTTTTTTTTACAAATCCAGCTCGCTAATAGTTTCGCCAAGTTTCGCCAACCAAAGAAAATATTCCTTCATCGTATTTTCAAATGGTATAGTTTTTGCTATTTTTTTAAAGCAACTTCATTCAATGCTAAGGTTTTGATCATTTCTCATTCGTTGAAACTAGAAATGTTCGTTTGAGGGATAGAAGTATTTGTAAGGTTAATTTTTGCTTCTTTGATCTGAACCGTAGCACTGTCTACTAGATCAAGAACGCACGCGTAGGGAGAGTAGGAAAGTAAATTTCTCATCTTGCAAAAAAGACCAAAAATTAACAATTTTGTTGTGAATTGGTGCTTAAATAGTTAGCTTTATACATGATACACCTGTGAAAAGAAAAAAGGAATCGTGTTCTTACCTCAAAATCGAATTTTATAATATCAATATCTTCGCAACCTGAGGCCGTTCCTTCCATAAACTACATTGGTCGACAACTTGACGTTTCCTATTTTGGTCATGAAATGTACGGAGAAATATCTATCAGATAAGAACTTAGCACGGGACATCTAGCGGCCAACATATCGTCCCCCAAAGTACGTGAAATACACGACCACTTTCTATGGAGAGAATGGGCTCTGGTAGTGTAAACCTTTGATATTTGATCTAACAGAATTCATAGTTTGAAATATCAAAGGTCTATGACATTAAGTTGCACAGATGTAGGGTTTAGAAAATTGGAGTTTGTTGCAAAAACCCAATTCCTTTGTCAATCTTTATATATTAAGCTGCATACTCATTGTTATGTACTAGTTTAAGAATTTTTGAAATTTAGAAACACAAGAAATGAAGTCTTAATCTAAATTAAAGATGACTTTAATACAAATTGTTATGGATTATTAAAAACTTTTTGATCATGTTAAGATTTTTCGGTTGAGACTGCATGCGGAGGCTTGGAGACTTAACGTAAGACACGGAGAAGATTTTGAATGGCTTGAAAGTCATTCTGCGAATCAGGAGGCTCCGGTGGTCAGTTCGGGGCTCATGGTTGCCCGGATACAGGATTTAAGTGGGGGGGGNGGGGTGTTAGAGTTATTTCGGAACAAATTTTTTAAAGAGATAATTTTCCTGTGTTTAATGCAAATCGATTTTTAAAATATCCTATGGCTTGTTCTTCTGTTTAAAAATAAATTCTTCCAACATTTGTAAAATGAACGATTGAGTCAATTCGTTAGATATGTGCACAAAAGGAAAATTCTGTTCTCCATGAGTTCTAGTTTCCTATTTTCCAATCTTAATGGTATGCCTTTTTATGTGTTTCGTAGCGTCAGTTAGCCCCCTATTAAAGTCTACAGCAATTTTTTGTTATTGATTCACTATAGTCCTTGGTTTGAGTAGTCTTAGGAAAGTACTTGCTGGTAGTATTTTTTTCACGTATTTTTTCTTGATATTCTTCCAGCACAATATGATATTTTTTGTCGTCAGTTTACTGTATACTTAACTGTAATGTTTGCTAATACCCGTAAGAATTAAGAACTAACAGGATAAATAGTATGAATGACTTTTTTCAAATTTAAAAAGAAAAAATAGTGGGAAATTCTTGTTGAAATGTTGCGCGAAGCGCCAAAGAAACATGTAGGTATTTATTTCTTAATTTGCAAAATTTAATGAAAAGTTTTTCACAATAATGATCAGGATGGGGAGGGGGAGCAAAATATTTCTATTATTTTAATTTTCTATGATATTGATAATCTCTTCCTTTTTTTCAAATCTCTAGTTGCGCCTCTGTGCACGTGCCTGACTGAAAAGAAGGGAACAAACACTTACTTCTCCATTTAAAATTTCCCACATTGAATATCGGAATCAAGCGTTCAAGATTAACGAATGATACTTTTCACTAAAGTTACGAACCAGAGGCGCATTAAGGATTTAGTACAGGGAGAGGCTTAAAAATGTGCACTTGTGAAGGGCAAACATTGTTTTGGGGTTAGCCCCCCCCCCCCGGGATTGCTAAAACTAACTTAAAACAGAGACTGTTATCTGAAAATTAAGTATCACAATGAATTATCTGAAAGAATTTTGACATTTTAACGCTTTATAAAATAACAAATATACAAATTTGCATATATAACTGCGGCAAAAATCTTCTCTGATAATTAAAAAAACAAAACGCCCGAAATTTAAAATTAAACAATATTATACAACATACATAATAATAATAAGATCCATAAACATTAAACAATAAACATATACTAGAGGGGGTCTGGGGGGGGGGGGG